TTCTTGGCGTGATTCTATAATTATATGATCACCAAATTAATTATCTGGGTCCAGCCTACTCAAGAGGCCAGGGCCAAAAAATACCTGCCTCTTCCGCTTAGGAAATTATTATACAATGCTTTGATTAAGTCAATATTAGAATATTGCTGCTCTGTGTGGGGAAACCCTACGAATGATAATTTAAGTTAGGCTCCTCAGAATTCAAAAGCGCTAGCGTTGTGCAAGGCTAATTTTGGACACAAACATTTATGCCAGCTCAGTTGACCTTTTTAACAAGCTGGGCCGGATCTCCATTGATGATATCATAGCAATGACGAAACTTTATATTGTGTTCAATATCATTCATGGTAAATGTCCTGATTATTTCGATCATAATATTTGCTACGTCAATACCAGAATTAATTATGAAAATAGAGCGTCAGCTAATATAGTACTGAAATCCGTCCCTTTTTTAATACCAAGACTGGTCAACGCATTCTTGTAAGTGGCCCCAGCACTTTAATGATCTAGCTATATAGAAACATTAGGGGTCTAAGTACCATGGCCAAATTTAAAAATGAATTACAGAAACATTTTTAGTTTGTAATTTTGAAAATGACCATTTTGCTATTAGCAGAACTTTTAAACTTTTAATATTTTATTACTGATTATTGTTAACTCTTTCCTAAAATTGTAGTCATTATTTTTGTTTTTTGTAATTTTTAATATTTTTATATTTGTATCTGGACTACAATGAAATCTAGTAATTGGGTTATCCATTCAATTCCCTATTATTATTATTATTATTATTTTATTATTATTATTATTATTATAAATATCCGGATTCGTGTGGACATAGCTTCAACTCTTCCCTTTCGAGTCGTAAAACGGCTAGAGCACGAAGAAAGGGGGGTAAAATGAGCACAATGCCGGCCTCAGCTTGGTGACAGCCTAGTTAAACGAATTGTTACGAGTTTTTACCGACGTAAAATAAGGACCTTTACCCATTACCTATTTTAGAGTGAAGTACAACTAGGAGTTGGCCGAAACGAATGAATACGACGAGCCCGGGTCAAGACCGAGTCAGAAGACCGAGTCATCACGACGACCTCGGCAGTGGAAACGACACTAGACAAGTAAAGCACTTGCAATTAGTTTGTCGAGTTTATTTAAAGTCTTTCAGTTATAAAATGTAGGCAAATTTTCCTGAAGTTAAATTCTCATGGGCCCTATCCAAGCAAGTTCAAAAGGAGAAAGGAAAATTCATCGTCGTGTCTCGATTACTTCCTCAACAAAACGTTGCATTGGGACCGGTTTCTTGTAGTAGTCGTGCTGTGTACGTCGAAGAATTGTACTAACAAAATGTGCACGTGATGGACGTACAGTAATGTTTTTTTTTACTCATAAAGCCAATTGTTTTTCCCGCTCTAGTTGATGTCGTTGTCGTGGTTGTCCGCTTTCCGATGCTCGCGCTTCTTTCACGAATCGCTTCGCTCGCCACTCCTGAGGCGGTGGAGCTTTTCGAAACGTGGGGGAAGGGTGTGGGGGCGCTCATCTTCCAGTTACTACGCATACCCCTATTCAAATTTTCCGAAATGCCCTTTGCGTTGTTCATTGGTACAAGTAATCTTCACAGTGTTTGTCCTTTCACAGTGTCTAATGTGTCCGTAATCGATTTGTGACAATGCATCAGTAGGTAGATCATTATTTTCAGGCGATCAAAATGTGGGGGGCTTCTCTCGCCCCCCCCCTTCCCTAGGGTATAAATCATTGTCATGTAGCAGACATGCAGCATCAATTAAAATAGCTATGTAAATTTATTTCGTTAGTTGTAACACCCATTGTAAGACGTAGCCTCTAAGGCCAAAAATTTTTGCCTTATTTTTCGCGATTTTGGATATGGCTTAACTTTTGGGTGGCCCGAGATTCAAGAGGTTTTGCAGGGCATGTATTTATAGTTTTTATTTTTGATGGGACACAAACTGTGTAAGTGAGTTGAATCAGTGGTTTTTAGTACAATTTTCCCGCTCATCATCCGTTCCTTCAATTCAATGTAGTTAAATTGCTTATTTTTCTTCAGGAAAGTAGGAGTTAATTTAATTTATCCATTTTTCAATCAGTTTTTTGATTCATAAACGTTAAAAACGAACGATAAAATCCGACGTTTTGGAGTAGTCATGACTCCATTATCAAGGAAAAATGTTTTTGATCATGCAATTACAGCATTTAAAGCGATGTGGCGCGAAAATCAACATAACAGGGTGCGAAGAATATGAAAATACTTTCGCACGAATTGAGTCTGATTGCACGTTGAGATTTGATTATTTTTTATGTCACATTCTCTTCGTACTTTGGTCATAAACTATTTAGGGGTGTTTACTGAGAACTCCCCTAGGCAAAATTTGTGAAGATTGGCGAAATCATTAAACTGTTGTGTAAATGCTAGGTTATGTTTTCCGGTTTTGAATTAATTATTTTATGTGTGCACATTATTGGAGGCACACCGCGCGTGATTTCCTCAACTTGCCAAGGTGAACAAGTTTAGTAGTTTTCAAAAGAGCTCAGCAGGACGAGGCGACCTTGTTCCAGAACTATTCTCTGTGACCGTTGGATAAAATTACACTTTTTTTCAACAAACGGCCTCTTCGTATTGTTTTCCTAAAACATTTGTCACGGAGCCATGGTGATCTTTTGGTACAACTTAAAAACCCGATCTGTCACTGACAGTCGATCTGCGAGCGACTCATTTTTATTAAAAGTGTTTAATTAACTAATGGATTTCTTGAATTTCCCCTTTGTCAGCTAAAAAAAAAATGTTTATTTTCCAATATAACTCCCACTGAATCTCGAACGAGGTCTGTAACTTTGATTGATTGGGTGAAATGCTTTAATTGACGAAAGTGATTAGTTTTATGAACGAGTCCATGCAGTGGAGAAACTTCACTGCTTGACCGTTAGATACCACAAAGATGAATACTGAAACGTCTACCAAACAGTGGAGCGGGAGCCAAAATCCTTCCCAAATGATGTCTGGTACGTAATTATGATTATCTATACTGGCTGCTGTTTATGATAAGGATCTATATTCAGACTCAAAATAAACCAATTAATGATTCAGATTTATTTACTGGACAACTCGCTTATATTCATATTAGTTTCTTTCTCAAGTTCAGGAATACGGTTTATAATAAAACTCCGTATTATTCGAGTAATTTGTTGGAACCTGCGTTTTATATATGGCCTTAAATCTAGTTTACACTGGCTTATAGCCTCCAAGCTTCGTTTTACCGGTTTCGTACTGAAATTAATGATAAAAATCACGATCAGGCTAAAATGTGAAATCAAACTATTCTACTTTTAGCTATCTTCCAAACATTTCACACTATTCAAACCTTTGCTAATTAGTAATAAAACCTTATCTCCTAAAGTAACATCGACGTAGTGTAAAATATCTTAACTTAATTTTCTCCTTAGCTATTACTTTTACCTATACATCTAAGTCAATAATTATGTTAACGATAGGTAGAGGGTAAAGGTGCACTCGAGCCAAAGGCCCACACGGCCGGAGCTTATTTCCTGTTTCCGTAGCATAAAGCATGCTTAGTATTATTGCTACTCCCCCCTGCACGGAATGCTATAGTTCATCGAAGGGTTACTCCCCAGCAGTATGTCGCCTGTACCCATTTATACACCTTGGTGAAGAGAGACAAAGTGCAGTAAAGTTCCTTGCCTAAGGAAACAACGCGACGGGCGAGGCTTGAGCCCCGGACCTCCAGATCCAGAGTTATATCCGCTCGGCCACACACTCCTTCATGATGTTAACGATAGTAATGAAATGTTTAGCCAGATCACCACACTCACCACAGGGGATTTTGATAACGTTCATAAAATTAATGGCTTCCGTCGTTTACACCGGTCCGGACAAATTTTTGAACGGTCGATTTTTTGCATGTGCAACCTTTTTACACGGAACCATAGAAATTCTGTTACAGATTGCAGAACTGTTTAGACAGTCTATTTAAATTTTTCACACTTTGCCTTTAAAAACCCTTCACGGGTTCCGTGTAAATGAACTAAAGGCGAAACCATCGGGACTCCGTTAACGGGACTAAGCAGACCACATGTCCGCACGATAAACACTTGCCTTGCAAGATAACGATTTACTTGAATTTTACCAATAGAAGACAGTTGGAGGTAAGGTTCTTTCATACAGCAGAGATTTTTTCCTGCTGTTTGGTCGATATCTGCACAATTGATGTCATTTGTACAGTTATCAGCAAAGATCTTTAAAATTTAGCAAACTTTAACTGGTTAAATAGTTACGACGATTTAGCCGGGGATTTAAAGGGGCAGCGTCTCGGCTGGCCAGTTCATTTGGTCTCTTTTCTGTTTTTCTTTTTTTTTTTTTTTTTTTTTTTTTGGGGGGGGTCACCCCTCCATTACATCAAACGTTACAAACAATAAAAATGAACTTTGAAAAACTGTTATACTATTAACAATTCAAACTTTCGGAGAACCACAATTGCAATCCGTTTCAATCTTCTACAAGTTGGTCCATACTTGCATGCTTTTGTAACTTTCTTGTTGCAGTGAGCAGAGAGGTCTTGTGCCTCGCTTTCATGTCACATGGGGGGGGGAGGGTCACCCCTCCATTACATCAAACGTTACAAACAATAAAAATGAACTTTGAAAAACTGTTATACTATTAACAATTCAAACTTTCGGAGAACCACAATTGCAATCCGTTTCAATCTTCTACAAGTTGGTCCATACTTGCATGCTTTTGTAACTTTCTTGTTGCAGTGAGCAGAGAGGTCTTGTGCCTCGCTTTCATGTCACAAAAACACATATATAATGTCCCGGATGGCAGGAACACCCCCTCCCCAGAAGCTGGAGAGATGGCACATGGATGAGTCACATTAAGCATAAAACCATTTATTTCTTTCAGAAATAAATTTCCATTGTATTTGTGTCATTTACACCTTTTTAACATTGCTTCTATTTTTCACTCAAGGACAGGGATGCTTAATTTAGACGTGCGTCGATTGATTTCATTTGGAGCAAAAATTATATGTGCTAAAGACATCTACTCAATGCCAATTTTATTTCCTTTAATTCCCTTTCCAGAGCTTCAAGAGGCATTCAGTTTGTTCGATAAAGATGGCGGGGGCTCGATATCATACTCCGAGCTTGGTGCGGTGATGCGATCGTTAGGACAAAATCCAACGGAGGATGAACTCAAAGAAATGATAGCTGAGGTGGATGAAGATGGTATGATAATTGCGGTTGACAATTAGACTGCTTCCTAACTTTAATTTTTTCATGGGGATAAAAATATCGAGTATGGCAGCCATTTTCCCTGTCACTTAAATTTACCTTGTTTTCACGCAAGCTAATTGCTTCACTTTCATGTTAGACTGACCATTGAGTCATCATAGGCATTTTCCCGAAGTTTTCCCTTTTCTATAACTTTAAAAATACCACTCCAGGCCCAGTTTCCTCGTCAACGACTAAAATTCGTTCCAAGATTTTGAAATATTTGTTGTGCAAGCAAGGAATAGGTCCTTAACGAGATTAATGGCTGCTTATTACATCTTCATTCTACTGCATATTAGGGACGTACATTATTTTCTAAGTGTTCGTGATTAAAATCTTTCTTCTTTTACAGGAAATGGCGAGATTGATTTTGAGGAGTTTCTTCAAATGATGTCTAAGAAAATCAAGGAAACTGATACGGAGGAAGAAATAAAAGACGCGTTCAGGGTTTTCGACAAGAATGGAGACGGAATGATAAGCGCACACGAACTGAAACAAGTTATGGCGAACCTCGGCGAAAAACTTACGGATGAGGAGCTGGATGAAATGATGAGAGAAGCTGACACCAATGGGGATGGACACATTGATTATGAAGGTAAATAAAATGTTACAAACAAAAACATCTGATATGCCGAGGGGAATTGAGGTGGAATTAATTGCATGTTTTCACATGAGGTCATCGATATTCAAACTAAATAAACTATCGATCCTTCATGGTTTTTAATTTCTTGACGTATAAGAGCAGATATCTTTTAATATGCCATGACGCTTCTAAATTTGTATTGCTAAAAGTCTAAACTCTTTTAGAGCATATTTGCTTCAAACTTGTATACATGGCTATACATGGGTATACATGGCTATTTTGATACATTTCTTGATACACTTTAATAACCCTACTTAAAGTACCTACCCAAACTTGAGGTAATACCGCTGCTCAAGAATGCAAAATGTCCACTTCCGGTTTACGTGCGTCGCTCAAAAACTTCTTTGCTTATGAAACCATCTTATCGGCGTACATTATAGCAGAACTATAACATACTTCAACGTCTTTTCGTTTCACAGAGTTCAAATTTTTAATGATGAAATAAGAAATCTGAGTGAATGAAAGCTCCGATAAGCTGGATTGAAGACAAGTTATCTTTCGACGTGCCAGGAATTCTGGAAATTATTGCACTTGTACTGGATGAGTGCTACCTTGAAGCTGATCAAAAGCAAATGATGAAGAGGTTATGTTGTGGACACATTTAACGCGCGCTACTTACTGAACAGCGCTTAGAATCCTGCTGTAAACATAATGCGATCACTTTGCAGTAATTAGAAATTTTTCCGAGACCTATAGATTCTAGGGCGAGGCGAAGACTGCAAGGACGATATGATACGATACGATGGAGTGCACGCGCGTGAACCAGCGTCATTTTGGCGGGAAAAAGTGATAGCCCTCGTAATTATACTACGGGTTTTAATGAAGTAACGGAAACAAGTTATCAAATGTTAGAAGTTTTATCATTTTGAGCGGATCAGGAAAGAGCTTATTACTCCCCTAAATAAAGTAATTGGCAAACCTATCCGGGGTGTCGAAATTTTTAGAGAACGGAAAAAAAGACCTTAAGTTAAAACTCGTCCTTGTTAGTCTTGATCGTTCTCGAATCCAAGGGTCTCTGTTTTTGCGAACAGACCACTTGTATAAAGTATTTTACGCTTATTTTGGCCATGCTGATCATATTATATTCACCAACGTCTAGAATACTGTAAAGCATTTTCTTAGTGTTGCGTAGCACAATTATCTTGTACAGTAAACACCCGCTAAAAAGAAATAGAGGATATTACATGGCCTCGCGGAGATACAAAATTGTCTTCGAGTGTTGAAATTTTTTTTTTCAACTCGAGAGGAGAAATTTCGCATCTCCAAGCGGCCATGCAATGTTCTATTTATTATATAAACACCAATGAAATACCAAACCATTTCACTTTAATGGTTTTTTCGTGTGAAAGGCGCGATTAATCGTGTAGCCATAGCAACGGTGATCTGTTCACAAGTGAAGATAACAATGTTATTTTCACTTGTGAAGATATCGTGTTTTCGCGCGAAAGCTCACCTGGCATTTCATTGGTGTTTATATAATAAAATAGGTTCTTTTATTTTGGGGTTCTTATCGGCAATTTAGATTATTAAGTAGGTTTTTAATTAAGTCCTTAATTTTTATGAAAGAGATATAATAGATTGATGATTACCATAAAAAATATATAAACTTGGGTTAGGTCCTAGAAAGCACAGTAATTAATCAAAATTGTAAATTATTATAACCCTAACAAATCTGATTGCCGAATTTTTATACAGTTTGGCCAAGAGCCTTGGTTTGGTACAGTATGTTCTTGCTATACTTATGAATTAATTTTGCAATCTAAAGGTTACACTCCTTGGTTAAATTGTTTATCATAATTTAACTGTATCCGCCTGGCACATAAAATGAGCCTAATTGATCTTGCTTGTCTAAACAGGTTCTTGTACTTTTGGAAATTAAACTGGCAAATTTCTGCTAGGAGGTTCTTAATCCTCTTATTCGGGGGTGTTTACTGTATTGCAAATTGAAACTCATATTCACGTTTTAGACTACTTTTTTAATTTCACTTCATAATGAAGCATTTTGAGCTTTTGAAGTAGCGACCTTGTTTCATGTTATTTTTGACATTGTAATGATATTATTTATATCGTTTTTAATACAATCAAGCAGAGTGAAATTTCTTCGACTAGAAATACATCAGATCATAGTATATGCAATGTAATGGAAGATTTATCAACTTTCCAAACCTTTTTAGATTTCATAATTAATTCCAAGAAAGTTAACTTTGGAATATTTAAAGTTCAGCAGTAATATTGAGCAAAGCGGCAATTTCCTTAATTTGCTGGGCTTTCAATGAATTTATCGAAATGAACCGAATTCAATTATAATCGTATATTTTCGCTCATTTTAAACAGTGATGGCGTCCTGGCATCACAGTGAGCTTCATTTTCTTTATTGAGACGTTTGAGTCACCGCCACTGCAACATATAAATCATCTGCACATAACGTATGTGGGCACGAGCCCATAATCCGGAGCGAGCAACTCCCTAGGCCTATGTCACGGCGTTTTTATGGACCAGTTTATTTTTAGACACATTTTAGGCCACTTTTTCCCGCGAAAATAAAATCTCCACCATATTTATGAGCCCATTCGAAGTATAAAGGGAAGACTAAACGACTATTGTCAGACTATCGTTATGAATACAAGAAAATACTTAAGGGGCTAACAATTTGACTTTTGAGGGGGGGGTGGGTGTATGGGTGATTTGACTTGGGTAAAAAAAAGATTTCCCCAAAATCTGGTGATAGAATTTTTTCCTGGCATACAACGGTGTAAGATTTTTTTTCCAGCTTTATACGTCTTGAAAGATATTTTTTTCATTATAGGAATTTTCTTCGCAGGTATTTCCTTGCAAGAATTTTTTCCCTCGAAAATAAGTCTGCAGGACATTTTTTTTTTCTGAAATCACCATACCCCCATCAAAAGTCGAACGGTAGGGCCCTAAATGGAACATAGAAGTATTTAAAAACTTTTAATGACTGGTGCCGATCAAAAACAGAATCCCACCAATTTAGATTTAAGGGAAACAAAATTAACTCGTTTCTCGAGGGATCAGCCTTGACTTCCTTTAATAGGCCTGCAAAGAAATGCAGACCTTGAAGTAAATCTCAACTAGTGGTCGAAATAAAGCGGGCAACATAGCGCTTTCCCTTTTGAATTTGATAGATATTGCAATGTTTACCCCTTACCTTTTAGCGGGAAACAGTTTTCTTGTCGGTCATCAAGTGATTTCGAAGGAATCAAAGGCAAGCGAGCTAAAGGGAAAAAAGCACCAGTGTATAACAAAACCATTTGTTATCGCTTCGCGCCGCTTTCAATAAGGGAGTTGAAATGAATCCTGTTTTGGAAGAGTCAGTGGCGCCACTATAATATTTCGGAGGTGACGTCATGTGAAAACGCTCTATATATAATTTTATAAACAACACAGGTAGCCCAAGCGTAATGGAAAATAAAAAAGTTTGTATTGCAAAATGTAAAACTTCTTTAAATTAATTAAAATGGGTTAAAGTTATCAGTAAAGTATAAACATTGTTACCTGTCTTTCTTTCTACGAAGTTTTAGTGCGATGTGTCAGTATATAGTAACTGACAATGTCATCTGCTTCAAAAGCAGCGCCAAATTTGTTCTTTGAATACAAATTCAGCCGTGGCAACCAAGCAACGATGCTGATAACAAATTGTTTTTCTGAAATTGTTTTTCCACTGAACAATGTAAAAGTACGTGGTCACCAATATCCACCCAAACAATGTTTGCCCCCAAATTCTGCATAAACGTATTTAAAATGCACCATTTTCCCAAGAGCATTTTAAGACAATAAGTTATGCAAAATTTGGGGGGCAAACAGAGTGTATTATGGGCAATTGGAAAATAGTCAATTGCTATTAAACAAAGGAAACCGTCTTTGAATAGGAGTAGGGATATGATGAGGGACTGGACCTGCCAGTAATTTACAATGCTCTCTTGGGATTCGTAACTTTTCTGTTACGCAACCTGTCACTTCATAACCCTGATGAAGTACGAGTGATTCGCACGAAATCAGTATTCGTTTCATTTTAATTTTTCGTTCTGAGTTTTGGAATTTTCTGCACACTAAATGTCTTGGCCAGAGCAGATGAAAAAACTTTTTAGGTAACCATTCCTATGGCCTGCGAACGCAGACGTCACGCGTTCCGGTCGTCGCTTGCTCTTCGACCCGTAAAGCGTGGCTCTCATATGTTGCCGATGCACCTGCGACATGGCCGCCGGTACTGCTGGGATACTGTTCCGATATGATAACAGAAGAGGCCGGCAACATTGCTCATCCCAGTCTTTAACCCAGGCATGCCTGCGGTAGAGCTCTGCGATGGCTCTAGTTGCCGCCGGCGCATGTCCTCATTTGTCCGAGAAGTGTCCTAGGCGGTACTGGCGGCTACGTCGCAGATACATCGATGACATCAATTTACTACTATGACGAGCAGGATCTTTCAGGGTTTCGCTTTCTTGTGCTAATTAGGGCGTTTGTTATTCAAACCTCACTGGGATTACAAAATTTAAATATGAAAGGAAAAAAGAAAAGGATTCTTGTCGAAGTAGTAAAATGTGCAAATATTAATGGCCGGCCTATTAGCTTTCGGTTGGAGAGAGGTGATAACCGGAAATACACCTGCGTTCGCAGGCTACAATTTCTGCTTCTAATAATCAACGCACTAAAGCCTGTCAAGAGCTAATGCAAAAGACCTGGAAGAGGTGTTATAAACAAGAGAATTAAAGCTCTAGGCGTAATCTACATGAGAAACCGTTCCATTCTGTAAAAGATCTTAGTGCGTTATATCCTAAGAAAGTGTAGTCGCGAGGGCTCACGCCTAACCCTCGACCAAATTAAAAAGGGGGGGAAATGAGCTACGAATTTCCACTTATAATCCTAAAGAAAGGAGTCTCTTACTCTCTCTTAAAGAATATTACAAAGCTGCGTTTAAAATTTAGGGACTTTTTCGAACTTTATTGAAAGTAAGTGCACTCAACCATTTTTTCAAAATATTCGTATTGTTCAAGAATGGAATAAACTACCGCAACAGTAGTAAAGGCGAGAATTTAGAAACTTTGAAGTAATAATATTTAAAAAACTTTTTTTTTACGCGGAGTGTTTTTTTTAGTCTTTAAACTCTCTAAATTATGGTTTAAATCATTTCTCAACTTGTAAATAGTTAGTTTAAGTTATATCATTTCTGTTTCATTAATTGTTACCACTGCGGGCTTCTTCATGTTCATAAATTATGTTGTTATTCGATTTTCCTACTGTTTCCTTTACACTGATGTATTTTATTTATACTTTTTTCACATAATGAATAACTAGTAGGCATGTATTACGTAATCTTCTCCTCACTATCAAAATAGGAGTCCATTGTCGACCGAGTTTCATAGACTATTCTTTGTCTACTACTGTAGAAAGTGTACATAGCGTTATGGTGTTTAGAAGTCGTCTGAATGGAGTATATACTAGTATTCTTAGTGTGCTGAAGGAATCGCCGTATGTTAGCAAGTATCTATGCACCTGTTTTGACTAAAAAGATTAGGAAGCTGTGAATAGCTTGAGTCTACACATCTCAAACTGGTCAAATTCATTATTTAAACAAGTAATATATTTGGAAGTTTCGTGTAATCCATCCTTATTCTACTTATGTTTTTAAGACAGCTAATTTTAGGAAACGCCGTGTTTCTTTCCTGAAACATATTCATGCAGTTTTAACCAGAAATTGTGATGAAGTTTTGACTTCAAATAATCAATTTATTCAAGCGTAATAAAAGCGAATAAAAAATTGTCAACCTTGTCAGTTTTATACATCCAATCACATTGAAGCATTTTAGCTGGGTACAGGTGCTAATGTGAGCTATTAGCTGAAAATGGAAATTACTTCGGTGTTTTCGCCGCCAGCATACAAAACTCTTTGACGTCAGAGCTAACGAAAACATTGAGAATTTATGCGAATTAGAGCGGTGTGTTGATTGCAAGAACTACTTGTTTATCAGCAGCACGCACCACAGAGAAACGTTTATGACTCTCGCAAGGTTTTGCGCATCCTCTTTCACTAAGAAGCGATAAATTATGGTGGGTATATGTCGTTATCGCCGTACCATGTTCGTCCGATTTTGCACGATTCGCTGCTCAAAGTGCTTTCTCGGTTTGAAGCGTCAAAACAAACCCAAACCGTCTCAAATTATGCCTGAATTATTTTTCTGCCAGACGCTCTTTTATTTTTCCCGTTTGTCTGCACGTTTCACACTCTTCTGTTATTTAAAATCTTATTTTAGGCTGACCGTGAGCTTTCCGAGGAGCAAATAAACGGTAAGCAAGCTTGACATAAGACAGATGATCGTTACTAAAATATCTTGACAATCGCAAATGTGATTTAATCTTTAGCTTTACTTATATCGCTTCAGTAGCGACCCAGAATTGTTGTTTTTTTTAAATAAGAAATATCGTTCGATTTTTTTCTTTTGCGCAGAGCTACGCGAGGCTTTTTCTCTTTTTGACAAGGATGGGAGCGGCACTATATCAAATGACGAACTGGAGGTTGTAATGAAGTCATTGGGACAGAACCCAACTCAAAGCGAATTAAAAAAGATGATACAAGAAGTCGACGTGGATGGTATTAACTACGTTTTTCTGATGTTAAATTTGTTTTGAAACGTTGCACCTTATTTTTAATGTAAACCAAAAAAGTGCTATGTATATTAGGGACGTCAATAACATGGTGAAACTGAAAGAAAGATCGTTATTATCTCAGTATATTTAAAATTGCTGGAACCAAGCAGTGACTGAATTGGCTGCTGTCGCGGATTATTAACAAAAACACACAGGTTTTAAAAGTCGTTCTTGGCGGATACATCATTCACATTTTATGATATAGCTTCCAAGTCGATCTAATATTTTGCTTGCCTTTGCAAAATATTTTGTGACACTGGTAAATTTCCGGGTTTATATAGCAAAAAAACAGAGAAATTAATCTCTAAGCGAATTACTTCCCGTTGACAAACTTATTATAATTGAAACTGTTCTAAAGTAGCTAAGGCTGAAACAACGAGCAACTTTAGAACCACTTTTCGGCTGCAGTATCAGACATAAACCTTTATGAAACTGAAAATACGTGGAGAGGTCAGTTTATTTTCGTAATAAATGGCAAACTGATGCAAAGCTGTCATTTCAACTTTCATACTCGGTTCAACCAAATACGTTTCAGATTAGCATGACAAAAGCTTGTCATTGATTTCTGATTTCCACACACTTGTTCCGTTCTGATGTGAAGCCATCGATTTTCTTCTATATAGTACCGTTTTCTTGGCTATTCTATATATATTTTGAAAAGAGCTAATAAGGACGGCGGTTTCGGCCAAATTTTCCTCAGATTCGCTTAAAATGAGAGCGTTGCCCAGTACTAGGTGCAATTGGCTCGCGAGCAAAAATAAATATCTTGCTCCCAAAGCCGGGCTCAACCGCTGAGCTCATAGTATGTTACTTATCAAGTAAAAACGAACACATCAAAACCGACTGAAATCCATATAAAATCGTGTACGTTTCCAAAGGCTTTTTCAATTAAGTGATAGATTATCTAATGGAACTAAACTCACGGCAACGTAGAAGGCCTTAATTAAAAAGTTTATATTAGGGTTAGTACGTACGGAAATGGGCATTTTCCATGTTTGCCTTAAAACGCCATGAAGACTTTTTGCGGCTAGGCGGCATAAGTTCAGTTTATCATCGTCCGTTGACATAAATAAAAATAATGGAATTGATAAATTAAATTCCTCAATTCTCTTTTGTTTTTAAGCCCAATTACATTAGGTATAAAGTCGACACCCACATATCTATTAAAATTTAGCCTAAGAAGCACTAGATTGTATTGCTGTTGTATAATGTTACAACAGTTTTTGATAAAAAAAAAGACAAGATTAAGCGCTTACCCACGTAAAGTTAAATTTAATTATACTGGATAGCCTTCAAAATGACAGCAAAAACTAGATTTAGCTTTGATTTTTTTTTAATATTTATTATTTTTATTTATTTATTTATTTACAAAAAATAATTACAAATACGTGTTCTTTTAACTATTCAAAACTATTTTCATTTTCACAGCGGGCTGAAAATAATAAAAAGAAAAAAACTGAATTCGTAAAGGAAAGAAGCCAAATTAAAAGGAAAAAAACGGAAACCTAATAAGTGAAACAGTAAAGCAGTAGAGTGTAGCTTAAAGGAACAGATCTGATATCTAGGAAAAAAAAGGTCTCTCGTGATGGAAAACAGTTGGTTCAAGCTTGGATTATCCGCGCCGGAAGCACGCCAACTACGGTTCATCTTTAGTTTTAAATTTTTTGGATATCTTCAGTGGCATGACTCGCGTCCAAACGATGTGGTGCTTTTCGATTAAGGCGGCAGAAACTTAAAAACCTTTTGCTGGTTATCTGGCAAGTCCCTCGAACATTCTGTAAAAAACTGAAATTTTGATTCGTCATTTTGAACTTGTCAAAACATTAAGCTTCGAGCAAACTGCTGAAAATCGGCCTGCAATTCCTTAGTCTTATGAAATTTTTTTTTTTAATTTATTTTTGCTCCGAAAATTAGGGTCTTTTGGGATTTCGAGAGTTTTTATAATCGACATTAAGGGACTCCGCTTGCGAACGTGATGTCGGATCGGAGACGGAGAGACTGGAGAGAGATCATCTGTTCGGAGAATTCCGACCAGCATACATGGGAGAGATAAACTGAATGATGATGATGATGATGATACGAACCATTTAAATGTGAGAACTTCATTTTAAAGAAGTCTTAATTCTGGGAATTCTGGTAGGACGAGCACAAATCATGTTCAGTTTCTTTTAAAAAAAACAAAAACATTATAGGAGGTTGTTATTTATCTGAAATATCATAAAATGCGAACTCGTGATGTCTAAAAGGTGTTTTTAAGATTTATCAATCAATTCAATGACGGTCCGACGAGAAAATAGCTTCCTCTTGTTGATTTTACCAGTGAAGAAGGAACCCTTAAGTCTAGCAAGCTAACGATACTGCTGATCATAAACAGAAATATGAAAATAGCAACGATGGAATAATAATTATAACATAACGTGCCGCCCATCATTAATTCAACCAACGTGTTGACTATGCAAGGATAGAGTACTGCGATAAGGTCACGTTCAGTTTGAATTTATCATTGATAATTGGCATACATTATGGTAAAAACGTGAGTTGAATCGAACAGATGATATTTTCTCTCCGGTATGAATTTACTAAGTGTCTGCAAAACGAAGGGTTTGTGAAAAAAGAAAACGGACAAACACGCTCCGGAACTGGAAAGGAAAAAGAAAAGATGATCCAAGATCAGATAAAAAATCCGGATCTTTGGGATTCAGTTTTTCTTTAAGAAAAGAAGTGATGTATCCAAAAAAAGGATTATTCTTCATTTATTTCCATATAAACGACCCACAATATCAACGGTATTTCGGAAAATAACACGGCTACGGACAGTGTAGCCTCCCACGCAGGCGTTTTTAGGGGAGGGAAGAAATACGAGCTCCCCTAAAAACGCCTGCGTGGGAGGCTACGGACAGCGTTGCTAGTTTGCCGATCTTTCATTGTATTCTGGACGATTAGCTAAAGGAGACTGTTTTAGACGGGCCAAATGAAGACGAGTCTTTCAGTTAGATATGCCTGGAAAAGTAAGTCTTGTAAGACGGGCCGGCGAAGTTGTGTAGCTGAATTTTGTCCTTGTGAACTAGAACAATGCCTGTTTGTATTGCAATTTTACCACCCAAATAAAACGGACAAAATTCATTGTAGTCAAACAGCTGATATATGTATTAAAATTGTTTCGTGTTACCACTGACAGTATTCACTCCATTTGGATCCGTAGCAAAGAAACGCTTCGGAGCATGTCATAGGATATCTTAAAAAATACTCTACATTACACCACCCCACTTTAAAAATTCTGAGCAACCTGTAAAGAGCCAGGCCTTACCCTACTTGAGTAAGAGATAAATTTCATTTAAACAATCGCCCCTCGCTACCTCTATAGGAAAGGTATAGGGGCAAGAGATGAGGATTTAAATTTTGGTATTAGAGTTTGAAGGGTTAATTAACCCTTAAGATTGGATATTAGAAAACCAAATTTGACTCTCCCGATAAAACTTGGAGTAAATTGCAAACATCAAGTCAATGATTTATTATTCTCATGCAGATAAAACGCATTTTCTAAGACTCTTTGAAACTCAAAAATGGCCTATTGAAATACTAGTCTGTTGTAAGTGAATTGTAGGAAACCCAATGCAAACACAATCAAGTTTCTATAGATGCCTTCACAATGTGTTCACGCCTTTGCAATTTTCCTCTTTTGTGTTTTTGACGTCGCTTCGTCTGCCCTTAACTACTCATTACAACTCTTAATGTGTTTTCCTTCTTCGTTCACTTCCAATAGTATAGACACGGTTTAAGTTGTGTTAAAACGGAAAAAGAGTTAACTTAACATCGATGTTATATCAGATAAGATCGACTTGGAAAAATAGTGCTCATCGTTATTAGGCAAAAAGTCAAAAAATGCCAGAACGAGACTAAACGCACCAATAAAATGAAAGACATGAAGTTAATTTATTTTCATTTCTTATTTTGCACTTCATTGAAAAGAAACTGGAAATTTGAGAAAACAATTAGTATGACTTTCCGTTTTCAAGATATGGAACCCTGAATAACTGTATTAGTGTTAATAGGTAATCACATGATAAATAAGCACGAGTAGAGTTTTCAGAGATCATCAAAAGTGCGGTGGGACAAGCGAGCTTCTCTAAAATTCTGGCGTATCACGGCCTTGCCCGGCGCTCATTTGATCCACTCTCGCTCGTTGTCGTTTACGTCCATTTCAATTAAGAAAATGGGAAAAGGTCGAGGTCACTTGTATTCTGTGTCTACATGAAAATACATTCATGTAATTGATTTGGATTAGCCTTCGGCATGCAAGGGGCTGACTATTTGGATTTATTATTAGGACCTGGATACATCAACTTAATCATGAAAGGACAAAACAATTAACTTAGACTTTCTATTGACGTCCTTTAACATTTTTTTCCCTGGTCGCTCGCTCGCGATCTCGCTGCGCGACCTCGTTGAAGCTCGCTTCTCTCGCTATGAACTTATGATAGGTCAACTTGTAGTGAGTCTACAGTTAACCGTATTCTCAAGCTCACCTCAGTCAGTTCTTTTTCCCTAGGGAATGGAGAAGTAGACTTCGAAGAATTCTTACTGATGATGAAAAAACAAATGATGTCTCGAGACGCAGACAGCGAAATGCTTGAAGCTTTCAAAGTTTTCGACAGGAATGGGGACGGACAGATCAGGTGAGATCTATAGACAAGATGAGGTTCTGTTACATTCCTCACTCGCAAATCTCTTGAATTATGCTATACCATCACCCTGTACCATCTTCCGAATTGGCGAACGTGCGTTTGTCGTCTTTAAGAGTATCATTTTAAGTTCCTGCCTTACTTGGTCATATTCAAACGCAGCTATAGCCAGTTAAAAAGGCATTTGTAGGGAACAGAGTCCTTCTTCAATCTTTTTGAAAATGGTCTTGCCATCTGGACTCACAAATTACCGCTATGTATCTGAGGGCGGTTACAGAATGTGGCCTCAGGCGGACGGTTTCTCTTTCGTATTTCCATGTACGCTTAATAATTGGCTCTAAAACGTCCCCGTCGACTGTCGTCAAAATCCACACCTCAACAGGCATTGTATTGAACAGAGTAATTCAATTTAAAGTTATCTCACTACAGGGCCGTAGCCATGAAGAAACTACAACCGAGGCGAACACACGGTCCGTTGTACGAAATTAGCCGTATGAAATCTTCTAATATTATCAGTCTGATAAAAAAAAATAAAAATCGACAGTATTTGATAAAATTTTACCTAGGCGAGTGCCTCGGTTCGCCTCATACTGGCTACGGCGGTGCACTACCTGTTTAGAGGTAAAGAGACTTTTACTCTTTATGGCGTGTGAAAAAGACCTTGCCTCGTTTGAGACGGAACGTTGGGCGAATCTCAGGCTCACTTTGTCTAACACTGAACTGAAATTCTTCTCTAAATGTTCTCAGTCATCTTTTGTCATCCCTCGAACTCTAAATGAAAAATATCAAAGGATTCTTCCAAAGCGAAAACAAAGGATGATCGATTCTTGGTCATTTTTCAACAACACAGGAGTTTATCGAAAAAGTTTCCCCAATCTTTTTGTCAAGTTGTAATCCGTTTCCATCCAGTCTAACGAAAGCACATGCTCTTCAGGAAAGATAAAAGAGTAAAAGAAAAAGAACGTTTTCTTAATGACGTTCAAAATAAATGGCGATAAGTTGTAATATTTTCCATTTGTCTTTGTTTATAGTCCAGGCGAATTAAGAAATGTAATGACGAGTTTGGGGGAGAAATTGACCGAGGAAGAGCTTAGTGAAATGATGAAGGAAGCTGATCTCAATGGAAATGGTTTTATTGAGTTTGAAGGTACACTTAGTATCAAATCTCAGTCTGCCCTGGTAGAATACCCTTTGGAATTCTTGGTGCGAATGTACAACCGTTTTTTCCTATTTCAGTGGAAAGTGGGCGGTTTTTTTTTGCCCGCTCTCTTTTACACAAGTAGATGCTTGTTAGATTAGCCCCTGATATTCGCCCCCCAGATTAACCCCTGATATTCGCCCCCCAGATTAGCCCCTGATATTCGACCCCCTCCGATTAGCCCCTGATATTCGCCCCCTAGATTAGCCCCTGATATAGACCAATATTATTATTGCACGATGGTTTGTTTCATTGCAGAATTTGTTCACATGGTGTCAAATATTTCCAAGAACCCAGAAGGACCTCCTCAGTATTTGCTGGCTACGAAATAGTTCAGTTAGTTTAGAATCAGTCGACTTTCCGTTATCCACTTAAAATATTCAGTTTATTGAGAGTAGTGTTCGAATGAATTTCACACGACGGCGACTTCCTAGATCGAATCTAGAAGCATTGCCTCGTCTCAAAGACTCTTCATTCCTGGAGAAACGTTAAGGGAAGACGATTAGACTATAACCGCATATACAGCGTTTTCCGCTGCAATTTGAAACATAGAGAGGTCCAGAAATTGAAATACTGTTTCAAACAGAAAAAGGACTCAAGGGGAAAGCCACCAAGTCATTCGAAGACTGCTCTGTTGTAAAAATATTTCTGCCAAGTTATTGCAGGAGCAGGGCTCCTGGTTATTGTAAAATAGAAACTGAAGAAAAGCATTATTTAGAAAAGCATTATGCATTTGAACATGGTTCGATCGTGAGCCAATTAGACGAAGGCGCCTGGTTGCGCTTGAGATTCGGTCAAGATTGTGTCGAAATGCACCTTGGGACTGTTTCAGGGGACGAACTAATAGGACAATTGAACGATGACGCCATTTTACTACAACTACCAGAATCCTTGAGTTCGTTGTTTTCTTCTGCAAATTAAGACTATTGTTCTGTAATCCTCAGCGGGATTGCAAATTTAAAAAACAAAACAAAACCGAAATGAATTCTGGTAGTTGTAGTCCAATATCGTCATCGTGCAATTGTCCTATTTTCTCCCACTTTTCAGTGCAACTTTAACCACATCCTCAGTTAATCCTTCAAGAAATCGAGGGTGAAAGGAGGGATTAGAAGGGGAGAGATATAAATGGCCCTCAGCGACGGAGTTGCGACAGCAGCAGCAGCAGCCCATAATCCGTAGCAAGCAACATCCATGTACTTGTGTCATTTTCACTGACCAGTTAATTTTTTTAACGATTTTGGCGCGAATTTGTAGCATCTTCAGTTTAAGTCCCACGAACCAGTCAGCAACCTACCCTGAAAAGGATATTTTGGACCTTTTAATGACGTTTAGTTTTCGTTTTTCATATCCTATTTTTTGAATGTGCTCGTAGTCGGAGAGGAGCTTCCAGTTTCGCGGGAACAATTATTCTAAAATGTATCTGAAAATATTCCGGTCCGTGAAAACGCCCTGACGTAGCCCTAGTTTGGGAGTTGCTCGCTCCACGCCCCTGGTTGCAGTAATTGTACAGCGGAACCTCTATATAACGAAGTCCTCGGTATAACGAATGATTTTCTTTACCCCAGTAATAGTAAAGTGTATGAAAAATAACCTCGATAAAACGAAACCTCGTCAGTATAGCGAACAAATCTTGCCAGTCCCTTGGCCCTTCGTTATACGTCGAAGTTCTATTGCGCATATGCAAACAATCAAAAAATCAACTGGGTCTCGGGTAACATAGCATCGCGTCATTGTCACGAGTTAAGCGTCAGTTTGATGGTTTGATTATTTAAAAGGTAATATTTATTACTGGAGAAGTTTTCAGTGTTTTCCCGTCGAAACCTGACCGTTCACGCCAATTCCGGTATGAGGGTGATCTGACCTTGCTCACAGCCCTCTGCACGAGCTGTCTTCGACTCAACAATTGTATCATCAATATGATCTCTAACTGATCCGTTATAAAAAGTTTAAAGATTTAAATACCAAGTGTTTATTCCAAGACAAACGATAAGTGAACTTATCAATGCACTTACCATAATGGACAATATCTTTCACTATATAGATTGACACTGATACATATTAATGCAGCAACCAGCTGACGGGTACTCACCGAAGTTATATACGGGAACGCTCCGCCCCAAGGTCTAACCCCCTATCATTTTACATACCTTTTTTAACAGAAAAGGTACCCCTTTCTTATACCTTCTACTGACAAATGGTACCCCTCACGACACAACTAGTTTAACACTCTGCTTCACTTTTAACTGCTGAAAATGCTCCGTCTTTTCAATACGAATAAATCACTAAACCAAAAAGTTTCCTTGTCTCTTTCGCATCCATAAAATGCGTCTGTTAGACCCTTCTGATCCTTTTACAGACCAAAATAACAGATTTCCCTACCCTTTTATATACTTCCAATGATGAAAACCCTTGTCTTACATATACCTGAAGACCCCTTTCGGGCGGAGCCTCCCCGTATAGCAAATCCCCTGGGACAGCAACAAGCACTGACGGTAGTGTTTCCCGCTTATATCAAGGTGGCACTTTTTCCTGGCAACTGTTTTTCTTTTGTGAAAAATTTACTCTTTTTTGTACATATACGCTACTACGTAGTCTTCTACGCATTCCCAATGTTGTGCAACTAAGTTGTGTGGGAGCATTTGTAAAATAAATCATCAATAAAGATAAAGCGAGAAAAGTACGTTGGTCAGAATTATTACCTAATGCACACCAGCCAGGAGCTCATGAATCAAAAATAGAAAGATACGGGCAAAGGATTCCTCAAAGATATAGAGCGTATGGAGGTCCCAGGTCAGGCGCTCCAGCAGGCAGAGGGGGATGGGTTCCTGGCAAAGGGGGTCAGGGGCCTGATAGTGTCCCTTTAAGCCCGCGCTGGTGTAAGTTAGTTTGCCTCCCATAGTATACATTCAATTGGGCAAAGCTGATCGCACTAAAAATATACGTGGAAATTAACTTTGAAAGACATCAACACAACACCGACAGAATACAAAACAGAGCAGGGTTCCGAGCCGTCGACAGCTGTTTTCGCCATTATTGTGGCTCATCAGGACGGTGCAGACACAACAGAAGATGGGCTGAGAAAATACCCGCTCATTCTGTTTTAAACCTCAACATTGAACTCCATCACCCACCGAATCATGCTATATCACGTGTCTCCAGGAGGAAATTAATTCTAAGATGTCTTGCAAAGAAAGTGTACAGGATGTGGTCAAAACCAACCCGAGAACAGTGGACAAAACCATGCAAAATGAACAGCATATCGGATCTACAGTCCAAAAATGTTATTACAAATAAAGGAACATTAACTGCAAAGGACCACAGACGATTATGCCCCAGAACGTATGATCTAAAGAAGACTCGTTTGCGCAACTTTGCAATTAATTATCATTTATTACTTCCTGCCGCGGTATAGCCTGGGCGACCGGCACAAGTAAAGAGGAAGTAAAAGGAGAAAGTCGAACCCGTGAGAACCGAGTGTCCTTCGAGTTCTAACGCGCGTGATTTTTCTTTTACTCAGCTTTCAGTCTCTCTGTCATGATAGCGTACCTAGCGTACATCAGTGTAGCATGCAGTCAGCCTAGCCTCCAGAAGTTCTCAGCTCGCTCAAACCCGGATTCGACCCTGAGCGGTAGAAATCGCCTAGGGGCTAGGGTGGCATGCAGTGAATTGGCCATTTGGGACTACATACGCTAGCGCTTTGAGACTGAGCCGGCTGTTGTGTCGAAACATTATGAGAATGTTCTCGAAACACTATCGCGAGCCTGCGCAACAACAACAACAAAAAAAATGGACGAAAAGAACATAAACACCAGCTAGAGACAAAATTTCGTCTCCCATGACAGGCCCACAGTGCAGCATCCAGTGTTAGACACAGCCTCGGGTTTGTTGGATTGCTGCAAGAGATAACGTTTCTTCTTAGACTACGTGAAGGTCTCTCTATCTATGTCCTGTAAAAGTCATCAGGGGGAAAAGCAAAAGAGTTCGCCCTTGTCACTCCCGTAAAATGCCCTCATTTTCTCGGCATCGGCCTGATCGGCTGGGGATCGGCCGAATCCCGTTTGAGATAACCCTTTAGCTATCTTTTCTGTTTTTGCTCTTTTTTTCCAGCTTCCCACCACGGCCACCACCCTTATATTGTTCTAACGTTTGCAATTTACAGTAGGCTACAAATTAGGAATAAAAGGAAAAAGAAAACAAAATAATTATAAAGCTAATAATAATAATAATAATAATAATAATAATAATAATAATAATAATAATAATAATAATAATAATAATAATAACAATAATAATAATAATAATAATAATAATAATATAATATTAATATTAATAATACCCAAGAGATCATAATCAGTAAATTCTTACTTGACCGTATTACGAAATCACCATGAGTGTACAGCGGAGAAGTAAGAACTGCATGCGCAACAATTGTGCGCAATATCGTGTGAGAGAACGCCTGGAAGATATTAGCGTTTTCAAAGATGGATAAGCCAAATATAATTGAGCACGTACATAAACCCTTGGATTATACGCTTTTTGATGCTCGATGGATCCCTTGCAGTCCAAGATTTGTTGTACTTGGAAACTACCCACGTGGCACTGGTGCTTTGCAAATATACGAGGTTTCGAAGGGCTCTGTCAATCTCCTGAAAAACGTAAGTAAAACATCAGACATGCTGCATAATTTAAAGTAGTTCATGTAACTTGTCTGTCGCTCAGTCAATCTCCTGAAAAACGTAAATAAAACATCAGACATGCTGCATAATTTAAAGTAGTTCATGTAACTTGTCTGTCGCTCTGTCACTTTCTTGAAAAACGTAAGTAAAACATCAGACATGCTGCATAATTTAAAGTAGTTCATGTAACTTGTCTGTCGCTCTGTCAATCTCCTGAAAAACGTAAGTAAAACATCAGACATGCTGCATAATTTAAAGTAGTTCGTGTAACTTGTCTGTCGCTCTGTCAATCTCCTGAAAAACGTAAGTAAAACATCAGACATGCTGCATAATTTAAAGTAGTTCATGTAACTTGTCTGTCGCTCTGTCAATCTCCTGAAAAATGTAAGTAAAACATCAGACATGCTGCATAATTTAAAGTAGTTCGTGTAGCTTGTCTGTCGCGAAACAAACCAACTATGCGACAGACAAGCTATGCAAACAACTTCGTAAACGTTAAAAGACATGCAAGAGAGAAACCTCTGTTCACAGGGTAATTTTATATCTTCTCTCAGTTGAGAAAAAATTCTGATTTTTAAATACTGTAAATAATGAACATTCAATTTATTGGATATATTAATTAATACTGTAAATGGTGCTCAATTTATAGGATGAGAAAAGGACAGCTCTGAAATGTGGTACTTTTGGTGCTTCAAGTTTACAGCAGAGATATTTAGCAACAGGAGATTTTGATGGGAAAATGATGATATGGTGTGTTATTCAATTAACAAATAAATTATACTGTTTCCAATCCCACTAAAGTATTGGAATAACTAAATGGTTGACAGCATGAGACTTTTAAAAAAGGTGTTATCAGTATGTTAACTAGTAGGAATGGCAAAGCCATGCAAAATCACCGCCAATTCCATTTTGTGTTTCACCTAAACTCCTTTTTTTAGCTTTCCTATGTCCCTTTTACTCAAGACCATATCATGAGGAGAGTAGAGAATTTACGCTGTCTTTTTGTCCTTTGAGCAAGCAGCTCTCTCATTTTGCTTGGCCGGGGCTACTTCTTGCTCTTCTTAGTCAATGATTTAGTTAGCTCAGTTGCTTAGACTCTTGCCCATTGGGCAAGTGAGTTATAAAAGTTACTTGCCCAGAAGGAAAATGTACCTGCACCAGACAACTTGATGGTACTTTTTTCGAGCCCTGCCCCTACTATTTTTCACTTGATCTCCATGTAACTTTTAAACCTATGGACAATATCTATGGTGTTACCTTGAATGAGGCCTTTACAGCAGATCGTTTTGATAGTACATGTACTATTAACATTTCCTTAGATTGTGTCTTTTGTTGGCATATCATTTGCATATTTAAATTCTTACCAGTAATGAAGTACCATTTTGTTTTGATGCAGGAATCTTGAGAATACTGAGAGACCAGTCTACTCAGTTAAAGCTCATTCACAGATAATAAATGCTATAGATGGAGTTGGAGGTCTCGGTATCGGGGAAGGAGCTCCAGAAATTGTTACTGCGAGTAGAGATGGTAATTCAGTCTAGAGTCATTGTATTTTGTCATGGTAATAATAATAATTTAAAACAATTTTATTCAACTTTAAAAATATGTTCATAAGTTGCAGAAATATTTTGAAGTAAGGATTAAGCACTATACAACATTAAAAATTATATAAATCATAAAAATACAATCACTGTGTCCTTGTGGCTCAGATGTGATCAATAACTCTTGCAGGCAGTTCAGTGTTTTAAATTAAGTTATGACAAACGAAAATTATCTGTCTCTGATATTAAAAAACAAACAGGTTAAAAAGGTTCGTAAAAATTAAAAAAAAAACAATACAAAACAAAACAAAAAAAAACAATAATAATAATAAGCATTCACATCCACTAGTTGTTCATGGAGCTTTACAGACGTATTAAAAATATGATATAAAACATTTAACTCCAAAAATAAATCAAACCATCATTAATAAGTTTAATTTCCTAAACGGGTAGGTCTAGAATATTAATAATTTTATTAATGATTGTAATAATTATTAATTAATAATTTATTACATAATTATTTATAATTAGTATTAATAATACTATTAGCAATTATTAAATGAGGTTGAGTATCATCTGAAGAATTATGGAGATAGAAGTAGGGTTGCAGCCTTGGTGGATAACACGCGGGCTCTGAGCTGAGTTCAAACCAAAGGTTTGATTGTATATGTTGTGGTTCAATTTTATCCTTGGTTTAAATTTTATTTTCCTTTGTTTCAAATTCATTATCATTTATTACCATACCCAAAAACCAAGGGAAATAAAATTTAAACCAAGGATAAAATTTGACTACAACGTATACACCCGTAGTCAATCATCATCAAGTAAAATATAAAAGGTAAATATCCTGAAGAGTACTTGACTGTTGATAAAGTAGGAAGTGAAATAATCCTGTTTCGTGTTGAATTAATCGCCTCCTCATTTCCTTTGTAATCTCCAAGCAAGTGAGACTTCTTGTTTCATTAAAAACACTGGATATTGGCCTTGCTCTTTCTCCACATTAAGAAAAATAGAATTAATCAAATTTAAAAATGAACTTGGCCAATATCCATCTGTCTTGACTTTGTACATGGTAAATGATGCATATACTTCATTAATTTTTCATTTGCCAGGATCTGTAAAAGTCTGGGATCCTCGTCAAAAGGACAAACCAGTTGCTAACATGGCTCCAGCAGAGGGAGAAGAGGGTAGAGACTGTTGGTGTGTTGCATTTGGTAAGCTTTAAATGTGCTTTTTTTGATCTCATTACAGAGATTAATAGTTTTAATCATGCAGTGTTATAATAAGTGGACCGGTTGTGCATGTTATACATGTACAGATGTATTCATGACTGCCTCTTTGGGAAAGTGTGGCCTTGGGAGGGATATTGACTGAATTTCTTTTAAAACTGACTGTAGGAGTCATTAGTACTCTATGTTATAAAGCTAGCTAATGACTTTTTTATAGTATTTCACCAGACACTATTTGTATATTATTAATGCTCCTTGAGCAATAATATAATTATATTTTTATCTTCTGTAATTACTTGCAATTTGCTTGGTTTTGGTAGCTGCAGTTGCCGTTATTCAGCAACATTTGTTGTAACGTGATAAGTAAATTGGCTTAAAGTATCAAGTCATTGGTCGTTGTTTATGTTACATACATGTAGTACTTCCATATCAAGGAATGACATGAGAACAATAATAGGTTCCCTCCTTTGTTTGTAGGTGATGCATTTAATGCAGAGGAACGGACTGTTGTTGCAGGCTATGACAATGGAGATATCAAGATGTTTGACTTGAAAAAAATGGCAGTCAGATGGGAGACAAACATTAAAAATGGGGTACTCTCTCTGATCCTGTTTGACATTTACTGTTTAGTAATAAAATTATTATATCAAACATGCCGTGTTTCATACAAGAAAACCACACGGCAGGAAGTGTGTTTCGGAGCCAAGTATTTTTCACACTAACATTGAGTTGTCTGGATATCAGTCTGAGACAAATCAGTGTTTAGTGTTTGCATGATATAAGGTTAAAAAATAAACAATTTTTCTTGAGGAAATTGAAAGCTATAGCTTACAAACGTTTTTAGGCTGTTCATAGTCTCCTGCCTATTTTTTCATAAGTTTGTCAGGGATCAAGTGCTTTCCGGTACCGACAGCCATCTTAGTTGCATATATACCAAGGGGGCAGGAGTTGGGATTATAGCAGTGAGGGGAGGGTGGCTTCATCCCAAACTGTGCCCGGCCCTGTAAGTAGATTTGACACTCATTCAAGATGGCCACCCTTAATGCAAAGTGCTCGATCTCGACAATCTTATGGAAAAATAGGGGACCATGAACAGTCTAAAACATTTGTGTTAATTATTTAGGACAAATATCCAATCCCTCTTCATGGTAGTATCTTCCTTTGTTTTCTCTCCATGTATTTTTGGTACAAGTATTAACGACTGACGTTTCAAACCTGTTCAGGATTTTGAATTGTCTAAAGATTACAAACTTGATGCCATGTGGTAATCTACAAGTGATGACAAATGTCATTTGCTTTGCAGTTTCGTTAGTCCTTTCTAACCAATCTCAGCTGATTTTTTTTTATAAGAACATCTATTTTTTAAGTTGAACCTGGACTGTTCTTATTTTCTGGGCAGTTTTAGCAATTTCGATAACAGAAATCTGATAACTCTTTTTCAGCTACATAAATATTTTAAATCTGATGACAGGAAGCGTGTTTTAGCATTCAATGTATCGCATTACACTGAGTCTTTAATGTGGCTTCGCCCCATGCATCATACACGAGAGTTCACAAAGTTCAGTTAATTTCTTCTAAAGCCTCTTTCTCAGGCCAACCTACCCTTGCCCATTTTGGGAATGTGTTTAAAGAACAAAATTTTACATGCACTCTGATTCCATGTAAGACATTATGAAGTTCAGATTTTCTGGATTTAGGAAAGTAATAGGAATGAAAAATGAATATTGTTTTTCTCTGAGACTCGGATATGTTCTTAGTATGTTCTTAATATTTTGGCAAATTTCAGGCTGGACATTCGTAGAATCTCCATCCCTTTCCCATGTTTTATAGGTCTGCGGTGTAGAATTTGACAGAAAGGATATCATGATGAACAAACTAGTTGCTACTACACTGGAATCTAGATTTCACGTGTTCGATGTGAGAACACTGCACCCACAGAAAGGATTTGCTTCTCTCTCTGAAAAGGTGAATCATGATTAAATGTTTTTACGTGTGATTCGTAGTGGAGTAATCACAGTCTGGGTAATTGAGGTTTTGACTCTACTAATAATATTTCGGACAGGTTAGGGGCTAGACAACTAACAACTGGGTCACTGCACTCCTGATGGGTATTTTCAAGATTATGACTGTTTGCTGGTTGGCACTGGAAATGGGCAAAATGAAGCCAGGCCTGTGGTCTAAGTATTAAATATTCAGTCAAGCAGGCAAGGGGGCCAGTGACTTGCCCGTTACGATTTCATGATTCACTACATTCCCACAAATATAATTTGCTGTAACAAATCCTTTGCGTGGTTAGAATGGCTGGATAAAGTGTTGTTGTTTCATTGCATTACTGGTTAAGACCTTTAGGTAACCCGTCACCTTATTCTTAACTTTCTTAGGCTCATAAGTCAACTGTTTGGTGTGCTAGACATCTACCTCAGAATCGGGAAGTGTTCATGACATGTGGTGGGTCTGGGTCACTGAATCTCTGGAAATAGTAAGTACTTGCTATCTTATTGCATGGCTAGACGTCAACTTATGAACTTGTGTCTCTATGATTATCTCCAAAGAAATTGAGTGAGCAGAGTGATCAGTTCTTGCCTTTTTTTATAGCTTATTACCGGTAATAAAATAATGTTATAATAAAGTTCACAAATTTCATTTATGGTGCTGTGTCTTTAGAGGTAAAAAGGGTCATTTCTAAGATTTTTCTAACCAGCAAAATAAATTTAATAATTATTACATGAAAATCTATACAGCTGAAAATGACCTTAGACAGAGTTTATGGGGGCAGTAGAGTACATTTTTGTAAGCGTTGTGACAAATTCACAAGGACACACACACATTAGATTTAGACAATGTAGTCGTTGTCAGGACGTTAACCGTTTTCTATGGTGTATACCACCAGTTCAGCTTGTGTCACCATTAAGGCCAGTATGTAGCACTGTACAATTACGGGACATTTTCCGGCTCTAGTCCCTTCTCGTTTCTAAGGTGGTGAATGTTACCAGGAAACTCAGAAAACTGTGAACTCTATGGATGTTTCTGGGGTTGTATCTGTGTTGCAAGGAAAAAGCTAACCAGGTACGCGAAACCTAAACGTTTTGTGGCTTGCTCACTTGCGTTGATCTTTTCCTCAACCAAGATTCCTGTAATACTGAATGTTTCAGGCCTCGATTGCTCAAACGTTGGATATCCCAGCGCTATCCACCGGATAAATCACTATCCAGTGAACAAGTATTAAAAAAACAACTTGCGTTATTTACTTGATAGAGATTTGTCCAGATTTTTCCTGTTTTCTGAGTTGTACAGTACGAGCAAATGTACCGCGTACAAGATATGTTTGTAATAAGTGGAGGATATTACATGGCCGCGCGGAGATACGAAATTTCTCTTCGAGTGTTGAAATTTTCGTGAAGATATCAAGTTTTCGCGCGAAAGCTCACCTTGTATTTTTTTTTTTTACTTTAGCTCTTATCCTGACCAGCGGGTGAAGAAAGATCCTGATGACTTGGAGATGGGCGTCATTGGTTCAGTTTCCTTACTTCAAAATGCTAATTTATCAACACAGCCAATCACATCCTTCGACTGGAGTCCAGATAAGGTTAGTAGGGCGGATCCAGAAAATTCAGAAAGGGGAGCCGGAACACTTGCTACACTGCAGCTTTCTAAATGGATCATATTTATTTTATCGAGAATTCTGTTAAACAGGGGCCCATAACCCGCGTGGAGCTAGCAACTCCCATACTAGACCAATGTCATGGCGATTTCACGGACCGCTTTATAAGTATATTTTAGAGCACTTTTTCCCGCAAAAATGGACGCTTGGCTCCGTCTGTGAGCGCATTCACCGTATCACTCACACGTGTCACTTATCCCGTTGTCAATGACCGTTGGGGCGCCACGGACGTTGCAACCCTCTCCCTCCATTTTATTTTGTTTTCAGCTTCTCTTACAGCGTCGTAAAACTTCAACCCTGTCCATTCAGCGATGTTCTTCTCCCAACGCTTCTTTTGGCGGCCCCTTTTTCCCCCTCCTTGCACTGTTCCTTGTAAAATCGTCTTGGCAGGCCCTGATGATCTTGATACATGCCCAAACCACTTTAACTTGCATTTCTTTACTGTGGTTAAGATATCATCATAGAACACTCTCTATCAAAAAAGAACACTAAACGGAGGGTCTTAATGGGGTTAACCGTCAGACGTCAAACGGCCTAAAATTTAACCGTCAGCCCTCAAAAAAGGTAATGAATTTTTTACCGTCAACCGTCAAAAATGCAGATTAATATTAATTGGAAAAAAAATTAACCGTCAACCGTCAAAGGTACCACCCCAATGAGACCCTCTCAACGTTGCTGACTGGTTTGTGGGTTTTAAAAGATATTTTAAATGCGCACCAAAAATTCTAAAATTTAACCGGTTTGGTCGGTGAATACTTCATGACACGAGTACTTGGAAGTTGCTCGCTTCGAGTTATGGGTAGTCTCCTTCGCAGCCGCTCGGGCCGACGTCATTGCCTGACTCCGCCCGAGCGTCTGCGAAGGACACTAGGTTATGGGCTCCTGTTATAAAATGATTAAAACTTTTCACAGAAAAATGGGAGGCCGTGGTGCCCTCGGACTGCAACTAAATCCGGCCATGAGTAGCTGTTGTTTTAACTATTCGTGAACTTCCACAAGAGGGCCCCATTGCGGTGGTGGCTTTAAAACATCTTTTTCTAAAAATCTTGGGCCAAGAGAATGATGATGAAAACGAAGAAGACGCGTATTTCCGCGTCTCCTCCCAGTCTCACTCTCACTCTAGTCCTTTCACCCTCACTCCAGGCCTTTCCTTCTTCTGCTCGCGCACGCGTTCTTAATCTAGCTAGATAAAAAAAATACGGACTGTTTTGCAGTTTACCCGTAGATAATTACTTTCGCTTTTAATACGAGAACAAGGCGTATGCCAGATAATTTCAAAATATTGACCCTGTTATGCTTTGACTTTACAGGAGGGCTTGTGCGTATGTACCTCATTGGATCAGAGCTTAAGAGTGATCATTGTCACAAAGCTAAAGAACGTTTGACAACTAAGATACATGATGTAATCCTGCGCATTCGTCATATACACAAGATCATTTTTACAGAGCATTGAACTTTTTAAATTATTATGTAAATACAGTATATAAATGTTCATTGGTAGTTTTCTTCCTAAAAAAAAAACAAACAAAACCAAACAATAAAAATTAACATATGCATTTTTTTTCAAGAACTTTCATGTCAGCTTATCACTTGATCAAGGAAAACAGTTTTCCTTGACCCAATGTCTTGCTCTGACAAAAAAAAAAAACAAAACAAGGAAAAAAAAAACAAAAACTTGCTCTTTTACTTTGGAAAGCTTAAAACTTGTCAAGTTTCTTCACTTGCAAGTTTTCTTGGCAAGTTTTTCAGGCTAGGTTTACACTAGAGGAAATTTTTCCGGGTTCGTGACGAACCTGGAATATTGTGGTATCGGATTCGTTTACACGCAGTTGTTTGAATCCGAACGCCTCGGCCGGTTTGGTTGCGTGCCCGGAAGTTTTGCATTCGGAATCGAAAGTGCAGGTGAAAGTGAATACTTGGTAGTCGAATGAATTAGTTGAATGAATTTTATCGGGTTAACTGTTGCGTGTTAACGCCTACGAATCTGAATAATCTAAATGTAAAAAAACCGTAAATGTTTATGAATTTCGTCTAGTGTAAACCAAGCTTCATTTTCAAGGATTTTTGTTTTATTCTAAATGCGGATTTACTTGTGAGTTGATTGTGCGGGGCGAACCGTTTGACTTTTGACCAAGAATGGTCATGTACTTGTGAGTCCACGATACGAAGTCGATTAGCCGCAAAGTGCGGCTTCGCGAGTCAAATGTGTTTGAGGTTAAAGGAGGAGAAGAAACTGCTGAACCTCAGGGTGTGGCCGATGCTGAGATACCCCATGACAACTTTTCAGCCACATTATTTAAAACGTGTTTGTTTTAGTGAAGAGAGTTAATTGCTAGTTCACACGCAAAGCTACTGAGAAATGGCTAGCCATACGAGTAGTCTGCTATCCCATATTTTCCTATACTTGATGTTTCCCTTACTAAAATATAGGGCATTCTCGACCCCAGTGCTTACGCTTCTAACCGTCATGCGCAGGAAAGCTCTGGGGTCGAGATTGAATGAAGGGCTACTCCTAATCTTTGACGTAGCCTGTAAATCTAGTCTCTACATCTGATCAGTATATGAGTCTTGAATCGTGGAAAGGAGTTGTTTTTCCCTCCCTTCTTGCAGGTGATGTATGTCAAAAAGGGCTAATATAACTTGCTTATAGGCATAACTTCAGGTGCGTTTTCGTTTTATAGCTTGCTTGGTTGAAAATGTTATCTACAATTAACAAATCTTTTATTTTTCTTTTGTTTTCTGTTTTTGTTTTCCTTTATTCTTTTCTTCCTTTTTAAAAAAAAAATGAAGCACGAAAACACCTGGACAAACCACCAGGCCCCGACAACGGTTTCCTTCTACATGCATTGAAAACACTTAGGCTATCCTGAGTACTTTTAGATCTCTATAGCTAAGAATTGCATTCTAATTAAGTGGCGCCATAAAGTTTGTATATGTCTGGTCATCCTAGGGGAACTTTATTCTTTTCGAAATTACAGGGGCTTCAGAATTTTTTCCCGGAAATTTTAGCTGCAACACACCTCTGAATCCGAAAATTTTAGTTTTGTTTTTTACTAAGAAAAACAGCCTAACCTGAAGAGTGAAATGTGAAAAATTAAACTTTTGAAAATCTTAGGGAATAGATGAGCTTCGAAAATTGTTTAAGCAATCGCCCAAAAACGTCTTCCGCGTTTGACATCGCCTGATATAAAGATGACAGGGGTTGGGAGAATTCGAGACAGTTATGCAAACCCGAGACGAAGACGAGAGTTTGCATAACTGTCGACCAATTCCGATATATTGAAATTCATACTTGGCTGCGAGGAAACTTTTTTTCACGCCTTTTTTTCCCGCCTGTTTAGACTTTCCCTTGCCCCCACCATCTGCCCCTGGGTCTACGAGGATGCGAGGCCAAGCCACAGAGCCAAGTATGAATTTTAATATATCTTCTAATCTCCCAACCCTTCGAGTGTTTACATCAGGCTATACACTCTTTTTTTTATAAGAATATATTTTATAAGAATATCGAGGCTGAAATTTGCGAAATTTTAAGGATATTTTAAGAATAAAGCCGAGGCTGAGATTTTGAAAAGGATAGATATAATTTTGTGTGTTGAAACATCTGTAAATACAATACAATTTTCTGTTTTTAACTTAACCGTATAAAATTATTCCCTTCTCTGAACGGCGAAACTAGCCACCATACGAAAAAACCTGCACTAGCCAGCTGACTAGCTATAGCAAAATGTTCAACGCTAATGATAGTTCGATGAACCGTACTTGTAATACATGTACATATACCCCAATAAATTCTAACACGGAAATGTCAAAAGCTATAATTTAAGAATAATACAAGAATATTTTCAGCCTAAAATCGGCAGAAAAATAAGAATATTCAGCCTGGGCCGGAAAAACAACATTCTTATAAAAAAAGAGTGTATGCAAATACAGGAGAAAAGTTGTCCTATGCTTTTATCATTTTATTAATTAACTTTAACTTTTTAAAAGTATTGCACGCAAGCCATTAAAAGGGCTATTTTTTCTGCACTTCGAAGCATTTACGATTGATTATGCAATTCGCATTATTTTATTGTGCCAGTAAACAAAAGCTCAATTTAAGATGAGAAAGTGCCTTAAACAATATTATGCACCTGCTGGCAGCTATTTGTATTTCCCTCAAGTTATTAACAGTAACACGTAGCCTGGGTGAATACCTATGAATTGTTAACTGTCCCAAATTTTGGTAACCATTTTTCTTTTCTTAGACATTAACGGAAAACCACCATGGTTTAAAAGCGTTACTCGGCTCCTCCAGAACGGAAAATGTTTTAGAAACATATGACAATAAAAGAATGATAGAAAAATAAGTAAATTAATCTCTCACTAGGTGTTCTTACGTCAACTTACAGTTAAGCCAAATAATAAAAATAGTAATGGCTAATTATTTTGGCAATTTACGTCAGTAAATGATGTAAGACTACGGTTCTTCGGCCAGCGCTCGGCCAGCGCGGAAAAGCCACGTACTTATTCATGTGCGCCGACAATATAAAAGTCAGCGGCTACACGCATTGAACAAAACAGAAATTGAAAGTGGCGGACGCGGAAATGATGGCTGCGAAAAGAGTATTTTCAGTCATAGTTTTTATGATTTTAAGCAAGCTTAAGGAAGTACAGAGTGACGAAGTATGGCAAAAAGAGCAATTCCCAAACCCAGCGAGAGATATCGAAGCCTGCGGTCGTCGAGGGAAGGTTTCGTGGATCTGTGATCCCGACAACATTCTCAGCTACGAAACTGCTAACAAGGTCGAAGAGCTTCTGTTTTCTGTAAGGAAGAATACAGTTTCAGGTTGTAGCACTAGCAGCGAAAATCCTGGATTTCAAATTGGTGTTGCAGTTATGAAGAAAATGCGTGGCGTTCCAGATGAATCTATCGCTGTTACAGCTGAAAATTTCGCTAAACACTTGCATGACAGATGGGGAGTTGGAAACGCGGGATGCGATGATGGCGCGGTTCTCTTGCTTTCGATCACAGACCGACAGATTTATGTGTCCACCGGAAGAGGAGCAAAGGAAAAGTTGACAGATGACCAGATCGATGTCCTTATCGAAGAAATAAAGCCGTACTTGAAGAAGCAAAAGTACGACCAATCTGTAGAGCTTGCGGTTGTAAGGATGGGCGAAGTTTTCAGTGGAAATGTTTTAAAACAGCCATTCGACTACGGGCTAATAATTTTCTCCGTCATATTTTTTGGGATCGCTGCTTTTGGGCTGTACATTGCATTCAAGAGTGAAGATGAGCGTTATGATTGCACCACAAAACTGGAAAGGATCCAAGAGGAGCGAGACAGAGCTAAGCATTCCCAAAAATCTTATGCAAGCAAGTCCTGCCCCATTTGCTTGGAAGAATTCCAGCCCGAGATCAAAACCAGACTGCTAGCGTGTGGTCACAAGTACTGCGAGCCCTGCTTAGTGAAGTGGCTGGAGGATCATGTCACTTGTCCAATATGCCGAAAGGCAGCGGACGGACGTGGTGGCGACGATGGGGCCTGCCACTCATCTAGTACCTTTGATTTCACTCCTGAGCTGCAGTTCAGACTGATGATGCTTCAGTTACAGCACCCATTTTTCATCAACAGCAGCATGGTAGACAGATGGAGTAGCAGCAGCTATACAGGAAGCTTTCTGTCTGATCCTGCCTTTTTCAGATCATCCATGCCTGGTGGTGGTAGTTTTGGAAGTGGGAGTGGATTTGGTGGAGGTGGAAGTAGTGGAGGTGGAGGACGAGGGGGAAGCTGGTAGAGTAAGATTGCCAGATCATAACTGATCTAGTAAAACTAGACCCTGAATTATACTCTAGGTTCCACTCAGATAGTAAAATCGAGACCACTTCAAAGAATGAATGACAGTAATTATTTATTCCTAAAAAATCTGAGATTAATGTACCCCTGAAATAATACTACCATAGTACTGGTAATTCATTTATTTTGCAAGTATGCAAAACAAAATACCTATTAAAAAATCAACAGGATAATAAAATGTTTTAAGATCTGAAGTGCACATGATCTTCATCCTGTGTGTGCATATTAAAAAGCCTGTTGCACACACAGAGGAATCCTGAGTTTTCAAGCCTATGGGGAGTAAAGAAATACTGTTTTGAATTATCAAAGAGCTGTGTTTGGCTGGGCAAGGGAAGACAGTTTTGGCTTAAAGTGAGGTTTGACAAACCAAGGATTTGTAAACATTTGTGATTTAGCTGTATCATTATTACTATGTTTCATGGTATTTGTGCTTCTGACCTAGCACTGAGATGTAGTTACAGTGTATGTAGTAAATACTTTTATGAGTTGTTTTGCGTATGAATGACTGTTTTGCAGAAATGGAATGAGAACACTGTGAAAATGAATATTTATTGTTAAAGCAGTAGTATTGATAACTAAAGATCTTTAACTAAGCAGTTTATTAAGAAATAAAGATCATTAAAATACATGTTTCTTATGTTAATGATTGTTGCATTTTAATTTAAAATGTCTCATGTGAAGAAGATTGAGGCTCCTACCAAGCTCCATCGAGGGGTTGCATTTCGAAAATTGAAAGACGCGTACCGCGAAAAGCGTAACAGAATTATTAATTTTTCCGGGGCACCATATATGGTGCTTGTAGTTGTTAGGATTTCTACACTGACGTCACTTTGCTACAAGAAAAAAGGCATGGCTGCTAAGTCGGCCTCTTTCACGTATATAAATAATTTAAAGAGGATCATTGCAGTAAAAGATGGAAAAGAAAAAAACAGGAAGTGAAAAGAAAGCCTGAAAAAAAAAATGTTTGAGTTAAGGTTTTTCTTTTGCAACTACTTAAGACGCATTTTTATATTCATTTCTTCATTCTGAGGTTCAAATATATGCAATTTATATACTCATTGTCTCAAAATTTAATTAGCCTGTTTACAGATGACCCTCTATACTTTACTCTTCAAAGTCCGTCTAGCGCGCTGATAAAAAATAAAAACCGGGGGGATTTTTTTTTTTAACGAATAGAAAAATAAAACAACAACGTCTGTGTGCAGGAGAAAATTCAATTTCTAAGTATCAAACAAACTCCAATTGGGCTACCTGTGGCCAAGTAGGATGTTCAGTACATTATAAGAATCATATATGACGTACAGCCCTCTCTTGAGCAGCCACTGGTTAATTGTCCACTGATAGACGTCTCAACTTTGAACAGCTGAAACCGGAAGTCGTTCAAAGTGTGTTCAGCTGTTACCTCGCAGTTGCTGTTAGCGAGCTGTTGATTTTTCTTTTCATTACATTTCAATAATGATCAGGCGAAATAGTACTCAGGGAGCTATAAGAGCAGGTAAGTGAACACTGCAGATAGGTAAGTTAGAAATGATTTTGGTTTTGGACGAAATATGATCTGAAGCGAAAGAACAGACATTCGATGTCTGATCCCCCGTGCATGCTACAATTCGTATTTTTCTCACCAAAGACAAAATTTCGTAGATTAGGTGGAACTTTGGCCAGCTGGGGTTCAATTTTAGAGGTTAACTTTTGCTTGTGAGTACAGATAAGAAAGCCTCTTTCTTTCTTGGGCGGGATCTTGATTTCAGTGATAGTTTGCGCGCCAATTTTAAATTTCACTTGTTTTAACTACACACATTTTATACCATGCCAGCCAAAAGAAAAATTCTAAAGAGACGAAAACAATCCTAAGAACGATGCTTGGGGTAATAAATGGCGATATGGAAATTCATCCTATGAAGATTTCTGAATTAAAGGTAATGTTTTCCAGAAATATAAAATCAAGAGTCTCATTGAGAAATTCTAAACTTTGTTTTTGAAGTACTAATTGAATCTGACATTATTTGACTCATCAATCCCATTTTGAAATTCATAGTGACATTTTCAAAAGATTACCAAAGATCCAAAATCCTTGGTCCAAAACAGGATCTGGGATTTACCTTCTTTGATGGCCTGGATTTGGTATTTAAGGGGGTGTTTACATGACACCTGGGCGATTTTCACCCCGAAGCGAGTTCACTTCGGTTCACTGTCATGGCTCTATATTTGTTTACATGATACCACCACAAAATGTTATGCCGGCGCAAGTCACCCTGGCTTGAGCTCACTCCGGCTCTTGTACCGGGGCGAGAATTTCACTCCAGTACAAAGACTCGCAGCGGTATCATGTAAACGCAAAACGACCACCCATTTCAGTGTGAAATTGGTCTGCCAGTAGACTGGAATGAATAGCGCATGTGTAATGTTGGCAATTTTGAATCACACATGTATTTCATCAACATGAAATGACCCAGTCATCATGTAAACGCTATATGAAATAAAAAAGTCATCCCATTATGAGACTTGCGCTGTTGCAAGTTTTCGCATGCAAACACCCCCTTAGTGTAAATAGGGAAACAATAGCATAAGCGCATGAATGACGTCAGAGTGACTAATTTGCAATTTTTGTCAGAGTTTTCTCATTTTAATGACAAAGACAGACAAACATGACAAAAGTGAGGAACAATTTCTTAATGTTTATTTCAGTTTGTTTGTCTGCATTTCGGGTCTATAAATAGTAACTGCGCGCAGCACTTTTGAATCAAGATTGTAATGATGAATAGGATATACCACCTGTTGATATTATACTGTTATGCATGAGCCCATGAGTTGGGTGATGTGAACTGTGAGGTAGATGTCAAGGCATGGGGATGATTATAATGCACATTTATGTAGAACCTGTTATGTTTTACTGAAAATAAACATGAGAGTCAGAGACCTGTTAGCTACAATCATTTACTTGTGTTTTTACTGCCTGAAAGCAGAATTTTGTATTTTGTATTTTATTTTTTACCCAATCCTATAGAATGATAATAAATCAGTTGTACAATATTAATTAGTGCAAGGTTGTTTAAACTACGCGTACATAATGTTAGCAAGAAAAAAAATTTAGAATGGAGAAGGGCACATTATAGTGAAACTAATTATGGTCCTTAATAACAAGAATGACTTTATTCTATTATTAATAGCTTTTTTCAGCTTTGTTATTCAATAAAACACAAACATGCATGCATGCACACACATGCACACAAGTCAATATTGAGCAAAATAATATTTTGTAAGTGCCTTTTTGAACAACAGGAACTCTTACATGAAAAACTAAATTATTTAAACACACAAAAAGGCAACAAATAACACTGAACTAGCCGGCTTCAAAGACCCAGACATCATCATGGGTGACCGGTGACCCTACTTGCAGTGCAGATAAGCTGAGTGCTTATCAAGACCACCATGTAACAGGAATTTATGTTGACGGATTTGGGAAATGAGATATGCCACCATGTCCTCTCATACATACCGTATTTCTTCACCTATAAGCCGAGCGATTTTTTCAGTTTTCGACCCAAAATTTTGGGAGATTTTTCACGGAGAACGGGGTTCGGCTTATAGCCGAGGGTTTTACATTTTAAAAATATACAGTTGCTGAATAACTTTACCCCCCCGGCTTGTAGTCAAGTTAGCAATGAAGCAGAAGTAATAAAACACAACAAAAATAACTTCTGAATATTGGTTATTCACTTTTATGAAATTGGTGGCTCCTAAAGGAGCCGTTTGACAGATACGTGCAAGGGCTTTCAACCCAATGGTTTACTCGCCATCCGTTTCGTTTTCGCTGTCTGTGTCGAACTCGTTCTCTTCTATGTCTTCATCGTCTACTTCTGGAATTACTATCTCACTGAATCTACTTCACTGAATTCCAGTGTTCGGTTCGATGGCAGCTCAAAACGCCAATAACTCAAGAACAATCATTCTCTCGGCTCAGTTAGGAGAGTGCTGGTCTGCACAGAAAATCTTGGGAGGTCACAGGTTCAAGCACTGGCCAAACGACTGACCATGCAGGCTCCAGTTGTTTAAAAGATGGTTAGCGCTACACACCAGATAATTAAATCACTACCAAATGGATCCGTATAAGGAAAATGAAGAGCATTATTTTACTGGACAGAATGAGATTTACTCAATAGTACTTTAATTTTTAGTGCTATCCACCTTGGCTAGGTTGTTCAAAGCTGGGTTAAGATAACCCAAGTTTTATAGTCTGGAATGTGAATTCAGATATCAAAGCGTGATAGCAAATTCAGTTTAATTCTCTTTGTCTGCAATTTGTTGAGAGGAGTCTCTGACTAGAGGAGAAAATTTTCAGAGAAAATGCTTTTGAACAAAAGAAGGAGAAACCCGGTGTAAATTTAAGCCCAGGTTAGCGCTAATCAGCATTTGAACATGAAATGGACCCTTACGTTCAACTTGCCGGGGTCAGAGTCTAAACTGGTATGATATTGCTGGTTGTGATAATAATATAGTTCAGATGATTGCATCATTAGGCGGTGAGATTGAGGCATTGACATTGTCTTCTTTGTCTGTTCCTTGTCAAAGAACTTGGTTTAATTTTTCCGCCATTATTACATCCAAACTCTGAGGTTCAAAAGCTGCCTTCACGATTGTGTTTTTCGCTGCTTTCGATCATAATTTTGATTACAAGCAACAAATCTTAAAACACAGAAATGCACAAAATGGATTCAAATCAACCAATCACAATTCACAAACCAAGACCTTTTGAACCCCTTGAAGTACACTTCTGTTTCCTAAGAGGTCTGCTAAGATGATTGATGGCAGCAAATAATGAAGAATGCAAATTTCAGTTGGCTATTGAACTTCAGAATTCCCTTGTTTTTGAAAAGCACAGTAAGGCAAATTTATCTGACGTTCAATAAGTATACCACCCAGCATGTATATTTCTGTAAAGCTTATAGACTCAAAACCCAAAATATAGCTTATTAATTAAATTATAAGCTATTAACATCATTCTATTGATTAAAAAATATAAAAAAATATAAACATAGTTTTACTCTGTAAAGTTCAGTAGCCTGTATTAAATTAAAAAGCTACACCTTTTCTCCCAGCTTAATGATATATCTATTTCTGAATTTCACTCTTCTTACTTTTTTTGCAAGGTATCCATTGGCACTTTTAAGATGAAAAGCCAAGAGGACAGCAAAGTTAAGTTAGATCAACTCAAGAAGCATGGACCACTTCCTTTTCCTGAGATCTTACTGTACTGGGTTTTGTGGATCTCAATGTGTTCCTACTCTATGTATAACATCTTTATAGCCTCACGAGGTATGGCATCTCAAACTACTGTGTACATGTATGTGTTATTAATTTTTATTGTCCCAAGGATAAAATGGCACCTGTCTCAACGTTTTAACATTAAAATTACTCTAAACTATTTGGAAACAGGCATCACTTTCTCTATAAAACAATAGACTTCCATTAATTTAAAAATATTTATTAAACACCCCCTCCAATTAATTGACCTTGTACCTCATTTCTGCTCTCCGACTAGCCTGTGAACAGGCCTTTGGTCGAGCGGGGAATTAGGGAGAGGGAAAAGCGAAAAGGCCTGTGGACAAGCCTTTGGGACCGCCGTTCCACGGCACCCGCTGTGCATCAGATCCTGATGCAAGTTCTTATTGGCAGCTTAAATCGGAAAAGCTTTCTCCTTGCACAAGAGGAAATCTTGAGCAATCAAATGCTTGCGCTAGTACAACGCTGTCTTGGCCACTGTCAACCAGCAAGGTCTTATTTCTTGAAACGCCAACGACCGGTACCGTATTAATTCTCTTACCGGAGATCAACGATTTTTTTCAAAATCGACAATTAGGCTCGCGGTCCATTTCACTTTGTTTTGAGACGAAGCAAAACACGGATGTTTTCCCTTTTAATTATAATTTTCCCAGGAGTTACTCACGCGCAAAATTGATTGACGGATACCGATCTTGCTGACAGATGTTCGGCAAGATAATTACAAGAGGGCGGAATAGCGGCCTCAAACGTGTGTCTACAGGCTCTCTCCCCTCTTCCCTTCCCTTTCCTTGCTATTTTTTTCCCCAAACAGAGAGCCTGTTCACAGGCTACTCTCCGACTTATGCTTTCCTTTAAATTTGTTAAGAAAAGACAATTAATAATATTAATATCATTCTCAAATTATTAATGTTTCGTTTTGAGGAGCACTTCAATCAAGATTTAGTAACATTAGATCCGGCCATTATGTTGCTCAAATACTGACAGTCAACTCTCAGGAAAACAAACACCATTGTACTGGGGTTAGCACTTAAGCTGTCCAGTTTTAGCTTAAACTTTTGGCCCCAAAACATTACAAATATGTCACACCTTGTGAAATATTTCTCCACCTGTTACCTTGATGTATAACCACGAGGTTTGCAGTTCCTATACGCTAATCAGTTAGGTGTTTAGGAGACAATAAAACAATTTTACAACTCAAGAAGTTCGCAGAAGTGCTTCTCACTGGTTTATCCTTTTAAAAAATATATTTTAAAAATATTCTGAATTAACTGAGGGACAGCAAGATGACAGGCTGTTTTAGGGGAGTGATTATATGTGTTTATTAAGAAGGAGGTTCATGAATATTCATGAATTGAGTGTACTTCCTGGTGCTTGAACTGCACCACCTCTACCTGTAACACCCCTCCCCCCCCGTTTCCTTCTTACCTGGTTCATGATTTGTGTTTCTGATAAAGAAGTATTTTAAAACTTAGTTTTTAACTCTCTGCCATAGTCTGTTGCTTCAAGGTCTGGGGGTTACTCTTTGGGTGGGGATGTGCTACCATTACCCCCAAACCCTTAGCCAATACCAGATCTAATTTGAGTAAAGTTTGCTAGACTAAACTCCCCTAACCCATTCCAATTCTAGAGCCGCTATTCTCCAAAACTACTGAGAGTCAATTCCCTGTTTCCCTTGCCCAGACTAAAATCTTTAACCAGTTGATCATTATTTTTCCTGAAAAATAAAAACCTATTCAAGACCCAAACTCTCTGATTTGTATGCCCGATCCCAGACTTACCTGTTTGAAAACCACACCCTCCACAGCGTTACATACCTACCGGTATGTTTGTATGTATAATATACCGTAAAATTCCGAAAATAAGCCCCGGGGCTTATATTTTTCAAAGGCCCTTTTTGAGGGGCTTATTTTTGGAGGGGCTTATATTCGGAGGGGCTTATCTATGGAGGGAAATTTGCGTTTCAAAATCGATTGGACTAGCCTTATAGTTTGAAGTAATTTTACCGTTTTTGCTTTGTTTTACTTTATATTTGAGGGCAATTTTCCAAGTACAAGCCCCCGGGGGCTTATATTTGGAGGGGCGATTTAACGGAGGGTTTTTTGCGTTACCGGTTTGGGGGGCTTATATTTGGAGGGGCTTATACATGGAGGGGCTTATTTTCGGAATTTTACGGTATATAGCTTGCATACATGTATGGCATTATTAGCACCCCACGGGCTCCATGGGTTCTTCTCAAAACTCTTGTCAGAGACAAAGTATTGTGCTTGTTTCATAAAAATTGCTATTAGAGTGACCATCCTCTTGCTGTTCACAAGAGGGCAAGGAGAAAAAAAGTTTTATTTGTTATGTTCTTGTAGGGTGTTGTTCTTTCACTTTAATTATTGCATGTCAATTTTCATAGAACACAAAGATGAAATCTACGAAGAGGATTTAAAAGAAGGATGGACGTTTCTGGGGAGAAAAAAGGTCCATATAGTTTTTATTGTTGTTCTTGTTGTTGTTTTATTCAAATGGAGTGTACCGGTATGTCACTTATATTGTAACACTATAACATTGGTATAGACTAATCCACTGAAGTTTCACGCGTGAGAGGCGAGCGAAGCAAAATTTTCACGCAACTCGCCCGAGCTCGTCCATGTGATGGGGAGCTACAAACACGCAAGTAGACACGTCGATGTTTGACGCGTCTTTGGAAATAGCAATCAGTTTAACTTATGAGGACCATCGCATCTTTGCGTTCATCACCTTATGACATGACCTTTAGGGGCGCTTCGACTAATGGCCGGCGTCTGGGTGTTTGAGTTTCAGCAATTATTGCAGCCTGTGTGGCAGGCGCAAAGAGGAGGGGGGAGAGGGAGAGAGAGGGAGAGAGGGAGAAAAACGCGAAATGGAAAATCCCCTCCCTTTTCTTCGTCCTGCTGATCCCCTACACCTTTCAAATTTTAATGCCTGCTACGTAGGCTAGAGAAATTAGTGCACGGTTCTCGACTTACCTCTCGTACTGAACAGCAATAAAATACAATGAAATAATTGATTTGCAATAAGGTTCCATTCGTGAAATTTATGTTTGATGCACTTGAAAGCAGTTTCATTGTCAGTTTTTTTTTTAACAATTCTAGTTAGCCCGCAGAATACGGGCGCTATTTTTTTGCGTTTTTCAGGCGAATAGGACGTGGAGCGCGAGACACGCGCGAAGCGGGAAGAAAAATTGAAAGAACGGCTGTTCTATGCAGGCTAAAATCTAGTGAGATAGATGTTCTTCACTTTCAGAAGCACTAAATAACTTTTTTTGAAAAAATGTAGGATGTATCAGATTTTGAATGGGAATTTTGGACAAGAACAGTAGCAGCCATAATACCTGCCATGTTGGTTCACATGATTGGAGGACTCTTTTTTTCTCGTTTCTTTCCTCAGGTGAGATCTATGGTGATCGACTTGATTTAGTTTTTCCGTATTTAAAAAAAAATACTTTAGCTAAATTTGAAAAATGTGTGACTCAGACTGTACATAAATTAGGTTCATATTCGTCATCCTGTTCTATATTTGAGCACGAAAAGGTCGCGAGCTTTTCAATAGAGTGTTTTCACATGACGTCACGGCGGCCATATTGGTGTCCCAAAACAATGAAACGGCGGCCATGTTGGTGTCCCAAACCAGTCCTCTGGGAGTTGAACTCTTTTCTTATGCAAACGCGTTCTTTTGTTCCAATAAATTTGCATATATGCTGGCCGCGTGAGTGAAAACACTCTGTAGCGATCTTTTTTGCTGATTAAGACTTGGTTTAGTACCGGGCTCGAGGTATGTTTGTAGCCCTCGTGTCCCCTCCCCACCCCCCCTTCATTGTCCCGTCCTCCCAAACCCCTATTCCGCGCTTACAACGCAGCCCGCTCATCCCCATATTGACATATTGCCAATTTTGTATTTCCGACGATATAAGGCCCTCACTCAGTTTCTATAGCAGGGTCACATTGACGTACACGTGTCATTTCGAAGGCGAACTGACATATAAGACGTAAGCGAATCGACTCTAGTCGTAGGCGAAACGACCGGATACCATTTCGATTCCCCATCATAAGCTATAGAATCGGGTTCAATGTTTTTTTTGGCAAGTCTTGCGAAGGGTGAAAGCTCTCGCCCTTACCTCCAGGCAACGGAATGAACTTTTTTATACGGAACCTAACGACTGCGGGTTAATTAATCCATGTTCATTTCTTCATTACCCTAGTTCAAAGCCATCTATTGCCTGATGTTTACATTGTCTTTTTTGCTCTATGCTACTGGATGGAAAGCAGTCGTCTTTATGATCGCTTACTGTCTGATTGTCTATGGATTTTGTGCTGTCTTCAAATCTGTTATCGTGCTCTGGACGTGCTGCGTGGTTCTTTCGCTTTCTCTCCAGATCAACGTCACAAGAATCGGGCAGGTATGATTATGATATTGCGATTCTTCGTAAGTTTAAAACAACCTGAGTCTGTTAGAGATTATTGTATTAAAGCAAGGGCGTTCCTTGGATTTTCCCGAGGTAGGCGCGCAGTTTTTCAAATCATCTCTACCCGGTCTCCCGGCAGATTGGCCATGCGGGCAACTTAAAGATACAGTCAAAGTCCGCTTTACGGACCAGTGGCGGATCCAGGAGAGGGGCCCGGGGGACCCGGAGGGCCCGGCCCTCCCTTATCTCAGGGTCTGGATGACCCCCCCCCTTATCTGAAGATCTAGATCCGACACTGCGGACACCCACTTAATACGGACGCCTCGTTATTACTGACAGTTGCAAGGTCTCTTAGTGTCCGTATTAACGGAGTTTCACTGTATTTCCATTTTAATGATAAGGTAACTGGACCTTACACTTCAGGCAGCAGTTTGGTCTTGCGCGTGTGGCAACTCGTCGGGTAAATTGCTCATTTTGCTTTGAAAAAGTATCCGGTAGAAGTAAACGCGGAGTTACATGGCCCCGGCAATTCCACCTTTTTCAGCTTTTTATCTACTGCTCACTCCTTTGCTTTGTTATGTTGTTTTTGTTTTTATTTATCTTCGCTCTTTTTTCAACGCACTTGCTTCAGGAGCGCTCTACCGGGAGAGCTTGCTCGCAGGCTAATTGTTTTTTTTTGTAAAATCGAACTAGTGGTCTATTAACAATGCTCCGCTCTGACTGGTTGAGCTACTACTAGGCTATATGTTATAGCCCACTAGTAGCGAAAAGCGCCGGCTTTTTGGCGGCAAAAATGGATTAAAGTCTAGCGTTAACTAGCTAAAGTTGTTTTGTCTCGATATTTTTGATCAGCTAGTTGGATTTTGCTAAAACAATTATTCCTCTCGACCTCGTGGCCTCTGAGTCAGTAGCCCATTTGGCCTTCGGCCTCTTGGGCTATTGACTCAGAGCCCATTTGGGCTCAAGGAATAATTGTTAAATAGTGCGTACGGAGCGAACTTTTCTTTAATTTCTTCCCTCGTGCACGCGCATCCTCGAAGTTCCTCCTTTCGCCCAACCATCGGAGGTATTCAAAGAGGATAGAGACGGCAAATTGTTGTTGCTCGAAATATTTAAAAGTCTTAAGTGCTTTCGGAACTTTACGGTAATAATTGTCACGTCAATCATTATTTCTTAGATCGATGTTCTCAGCACCGATCCTCAAATAAAGAATCTCATCTTGTTTGCGTCCATGATGTCCGTTTTACGATGTATAAGTTTTGGAATTGACTACTGCTGGCGGTCACGTGAAACACACAAAGACAAACCACTGAAGCCTTACTCTTTAATGGATCTTCTCGTCTACAACTTTTACTTCCCAGTGTTTGCCAATGGACCAGTTATCACTTTTGATAATTTTCAAAAAACGGTTAGTGAAGCTAATTCTAGGCTAAACGGTTAGTGAAGCTAATTCTAGAATTTTCTAGGTTTTTCAAACGTTGATGTTTTATTAAATCGAATGTCTTCAAAACGGCCATAAATGGTGTGAAGTTTGTTTATAGTTTCAAAAGAAAGTATCGTGGAGAAATTTGTGGGTCTAGCGTAAACACACATGAAGGCTATTGCAGTTTTTGTGTGGTTCCAACTAATGCTGGAGCTACTCTAATGCCGGCAGACGATAACTTGAACCAAATTTTTTATAACTGAGCTTAGTTCACAAGGAATCACTGGTGTGAACCTGGTAGGTTCACCATAAGATGTAGTTCTTTCATTTTACGAGCTTTTGTGAACCAGCGAATATGAGAAACCATTTTCCTTTCGTCGTCGATATTTGCATTAGGAAATGTATATACATGTATTTTGAAAATGCTTTTATCACTTTGGCAAGGATAATAAAATAGTGTTCGTAAGTAAAATTAAAAGATCCGTCTCGAATCCGCAAAGCTAGCCTTTTTTGAGACAGAGCGAATCAAGGAAAACCAAAATTCGTGTTGACGCCAGTTTCACTACAGCTAGTTTCACCACCCTTTTGTACTGTACTGTTTAAGCGTGAGTATTCTTTTCCACTTTTCCACCCCCTCCTCTCCCCCACTTCTTATAACTGATGTTCTCTCACGGGTGGTGGCAGGTTGCTGTCGGGCTATTTCTAGCCATAAATCTACGGTAAAACGGGCGACAACAGACGTGCAACTAGTTTTGCAACATAATTGAAAAAGCGTTGTTGCGCGTTTTACCAACAGCGTTTAAACCTGTCTTGCAACAAATAAGGTCGTTGCAAGTTGCGTCAATACGAACCTCGGATATCTATTGGATAAAAGTACAAGCGAGCTACACCATGCGAGCGAGTTACGTCACTTGCTGCAAACAAGTTCGCCGTGGAAAGTTCGGTAAAACACGCGACATGTACAGATTTTGTTGCAAAAAGTACAACAACCCTCTTATTTCTGCAATAACTTTAGGCGTCCTGCAACAACTTGATATGTTGCAGTACAGGTTCATGATTCGTGGGTGGTAAAACCCGCAAAATCGGCGCTATTCAACTATTTCGTTTGCAGCAGTGTTGCAACACGTTGCAAGTTTTTGTTGTCCGTTTTGCCGTGGCTTCGACAAGACGAATCGATTTTATTCTCCATCCAGTAATTGGGAGTTTTAGCCACGACCATGATGGCACGATGGCAAGGAAAATTTCACTATAGTGAAAAGAATTTTCCTGGGGTTGAATTGTTAGGAACCGTACCCATTTTTTTATCGTTTTGTGGTTAGTCTTCCTCCATAGGTCGTCAGATGAGGAAATTTCATGTCGTTTCCAGTGCAGTGACGGAATGTACCAAAAGGTGTGATGCACGTGCAGCGTTGTGGTTTTTCTTCGGTTAACGCTGTTGTTGCCTTCGCGTCGTCGTTGCCAAAATTCCCCTCAATAAAGCGCTTACTTCATTTCGAGAACTCAGTGGTGTTATTTATTTAATCACGTACTAATTTACTGCTTTTTGACTTTTTTTTAGTTTTATCAACCTTACAAGTCTTTTACCCGCGACGAAATCAAGTCACTTCTCCAAGATACGGTGCGAACAATATGGTGGTACATATTCCTGGAAATCTACCTTCATTTCTTTTACTCTACAGCCATCACATTAGATCCAAGAATATTCAGCTCTCTTTCCAATTGGGCTATCGCAGGAATCATGTACTCTCAGCTAAATATTTTCCTTGTGAAGTACAAAGTATTTTACATCGGCGCTGGAGTGTTCGCGCGGATCGATGGAGTCAGTGCTCCCTTGCCTCCGAGATGTGTAACAACGTTATGTCTCTTCTCCGATATGTGGAAGTAAGAAATGTTTCTTTTGTTGTGACTAGTATAATAAATTCAGTGGAACTTGTATTAAGTGGAGCCCGTACTATAACAATTTTTGTTAATTGGACATATGAGAATGTATTCGTTGGAAATTAGCGTCATTTAGTCCCTATTTAATTCCGTAGGTGTCCGCTTATAGACAGGTTTCACTCGTAATTTCGACTTACCGTAGAGTCCCGATTTCTTGAACCCTTCAGTGGCTGACGCAGACCTTCAGAGGGGGAGGGGGGGCGGTCATGCAAACCCTGAGATAAGAAGGAGGGGCCAGTCTTTAAAACTTTTTTTTCTCAGCCCTTCGGGCCTCAGTTTGGTCCAAAAATAAGGAGGGCCTCGGGCCCCTCAGCCCCTCCCCTGGATCCACCACTGCCCTTGGTTCTTGGTAATCTCCACTGCCGGAATTATTCAAACCAAATCTAATTTCTCTTCACCAGTCGGCAAACACTGTAATTTTAACCCCGATTTCTCAAACCTTCCGAACACTCGAAACAGTTTGCCTTTCTCAAGGTTGTTTTTGTTTCGTTTCTGCTGTAATTCTAAATAGGGAGCTTACGACGGCGAAGAGAACGTCACTTAAAAAGTGCACTTGCGCTCTTCAAACGTCATTGCTCTTATCACGGTAGTTTTTAACGAGTTATTATAACTCCAAAAATGGAGTAAAAATTTTAGGTACAGGATAACCCCTTTTTGGGGGCTACTTTATCTCCTAATTCAACTCCGATTTTGGGGTCATTTTTACTCCTGAAAAAGAGTTCTTTTTACTCCCAGTCTGGAGTTAAAATAACTCCGAAATGGGGCTATTTTTACCCCTTACATGGGTTGTTTTTACTCTTTTTGAAGTTAATTTAACTGTGAAAGTGGAGTAAAAATTTTAGGTACAGGATAACTCCTTTTCTGGAGTTATTTTAACTCCTCAATATCTGGGGTCACTTTTACTCCTGAAAAAGAGTTCTTTAAACTCCTTTTTGGAGTTAAAATAACTCCCCAAAAAATAACTCCACTGTAAGGAGTTAAATTAGTCCCACTAGAGGAGTTATTAGAACTCCTTGAAAATTACTGTGATTCCATCACGTTTAGTTTCTAAAATAATGAAGAAGGGATGCCGGGAAGGACTCCTGGACTTCCCTTGATGCAATGCATCTCTCCATCAAATTTGTCCCAGGATGGCTGGAACGAGTCCCCTGCAGTTGGGCTCTCTTAAGATGGCTTGAAAGGAAAAATACTACGCAGAATCTCATGCAGGTTGGCGGAAGTTGAACAGTTGAAAATTCATTTGAAAACCAGTTCTTTTAATGCAGCTTGCTTCTGGATATCCCATTAAATCTTTCCATAGGAAATGGACGATCTTATTAGCAGTTCTAATTGCGCTCGCCGCTTGGTATATTTGATTTATTTAGTATTATAACTGAGGTTATAGATATATTCGCGCGCTGTTATTAGTCCAAGACTGCATTAAAAACAAAAAAAATTGTTTCATAAACAAGGCCAATTTACATCACAACTTGGAAGTGAAGGAAAATAAATTAAAGACGTTTCGTACTCCTGGTAGAATATTATATACCCCAAAACAGATGAAAATAAGCCCAAAACGAGGATAGGTTGACCACAAAATGAACCCATCTCTCGAAATTCTACGCCAGAAAACAACTTTTTTATCACAGTTGTTCGTTTACCTTTGAAAATAAAAAAAGTCACCCGCTGTAACTCTTTACGAAATTAACTTTTTCTAAACCTGCAGCAAAGCCACCAGCTCTCTGGCCATATTAAAAAGCGCATATTCATGCAGTCTAGGAGAAATTGTAATTATTTCGAAATATGAGCTATTGTAGCTGTTAACAAATATACTCCTGACAGGTGAATACCAAAAGCGCCCGTAATAGTTTGTTAGATGGCAGGAAGTGCAAACACTGGTTTGCTCCAAAGAACACAAAAGATATTTAGAAACTCATTTTGACGTGCTGTAAATTGTTGCTCTTTAAACTGGCCTTTAGAATGCAGCTTGTTCATATGTAAGACATCTCTTCTATATACAGTATCAAGGGAAGGATGTAACGCTAAAATAGCTGGAAAGATCTTTCTCAAACTTGGTAGTTTTCGTTTGCTGGGCTTTTACTTGATTCCTCTTCGCCAGACTTGTTTCAACAAACTGATCTGCAAGTTCATTCTACTTCTGAACGCAACGTCTGCACATCAAACGTCTCTTTTCCGATCTTTCATTTCAAATGATTCAAGATCAAGCTGTTGCGTCAGCAGATTAGAGTCCGTCAGTGATTCTTTTGAAAAATTCTTTATCTCGGCACTTCATTCATGGCAGCAGCTGAAGGATTGCACACGACGTTCATTATTAATTGCGCCTTCAACGCTTTTTCGTCTTATACTGCCATAGCATTTAACATCATAGCAATTCAAGCGATGAGAAAAACGCCCTTGCCAACTCCTCTAAAAACATTGCTTATGAATCTAGCTTTTTCTGATCTTGGCGTCGGCTTGCTGGCCCAACCTATGTACGTTGCAAGTCTTTTCCTCAAGGCGATGAAACTGAACACTGATAACTATTTATTCAACATCGTCTCTGTAGTCGTAGTGAATATTCTTTCCTTCGCTTCGTTCTTTCTTGTGACTGCCGTAAGTGCAGACAGATTCTTGGCTATTCATCTCCATCTTAGATACCAGGAACTTGTAACTCTCAAACGAGTTGTTTCAGCAGTTATATCAATTTGGGTTTTTAGCGCAATTTTTTCGCTTCTATTTTCCTTTATCCCTGAAATGGCATTTTTAGCAAAAGTTTCAATAACAGCGTGTTTTATTTCGACGACGTTTTTCTATGTTAAGATTTATGTGGCTGTTCGACGACACACAAGTCAAATTCAAGCCTTGCAAGTTAACGAATTATCACAGAATGGCGAAACGGCGTCCGCTTTGAGGCTGAGAAAATCTGCTGTTAGTACATTCTACGTGTATGTCGTGTTCGTGGCTTGTTATTTGCCGAAAACTTGCCTCTTGTTGGCTGGTTCCAGAGCTTTACAAAGTACATGGATTAAACATTTGAATGTTTACACCTTTACACTGCTTCTTGTGAATTCATCTCTAAATCCTGTGATTTATCGCTGGAAGATGAGACACATTCGACACACTGTCTTTGAATTACGGAGAAATATATATTCCAAGGTTTGCAATAACAGCAACAACAATATCAGTGTGGTTGGAGCACTAGAGCAATTCCCAGAGACCCTTATTAGCCTGTGAGCTACGGTGGCGTGGTTTGATAGCACTCACTTTCCAGGTGAATGTGACCCGGGTTGAGTTTATTGTTGGCTCTCGCCCTTGCTCTGTGAGCAGTTTTCCCGCAAGGGCATACTCGGGTAAACTTGATATGTTCCTAAACAGATAATGGTCACACACCACAGCCATATCATCTCTAACCATTGTGAAACATGGCCGGCAATGAGAAACCATGACGAGTACCTTGGTCAACTTGTTGCCAAGGCCCACTGTACATTCGAAAAGGCGATACGTCTACCATCATCGTCAGACATTTTACTCATTAAAACACAGAAGAAGAAAAACGCGAGCTGGTAAAAGAATGGGTGACATTTAGCCGTAGAAGAGAGAGTTCGCGCATGTAACTTCGCTGGTAACATGTAACGGGAAAACCTTGCACCGCTCATATCATGCAAGGAATAGATTATATGCTGCGTTAGTTCTGTTTGAAGACTTATATCGGGATAGGTTGTAATAATAAGTAGGCTGAACACAGGCATATCAATATAAAGGTTTATTTGTTACAGTCAAACCAGGTCAAGCGTTCCCGTCGCTAACAAACTAATGAATTCATTAATGGAAAAATGATTTCGTTTGTTGATTCAATAATCCATTCATAAAATGAATAATCCAACGGTCAAATTGTACCTCGATTCAATAATCAAATGTTGATTTGGTTTATGAACAAAATCTACCTGTTCTTTATTCTTGTTAGCCTCCCCGCAGACGTCCTTTGGGGTTCGTTTGTCACGCATTCATTTCTCCCCCACGGACGTCTGCTAAACAGAGCCGACTTTTACGTTCACCAATCACAGGCCGTTTACGGATTTTTGTAAAACGTAACCCGAGCCGCTTCTTAAGATTCGCACGATCAGAGCACAGGCAGCCCAAGCGCACTATTTGTGGGTTCGGGCTTCAGAGGTCATTTGGTCGCAATATACTAGAATTATTAGTGTATTATCTCATAGTTATTAGAGGAGACTGGTTATGAAAAGCGGCAAACATCAATGATAAAAACAACAGTGCTGCAGTTTATGTTCAAAGCACCGTGAAAGTGCACAATCCTTTGTTTTCTGTTGACAAATTGTTACGGAATAAATTAATGCAACGTTTTTATTGGTCAATACAATCAAAATGATAGGAATTCTTTTGAACGTTGTGCACTTTCAGGTCCACAAAAACATATAACAAAGGAGTCTGACGGGTTTCATAACCATTCCACTCAATTAACTATGATTATCTGAAGCCAAATAAATGCAAAAAGTCTTAAAGATATTTAGCCGAAGTTTAGCCGAATTCTTTTTGTTTGTCTATCTGTACTAGTAGCCTTTAAGATAACGAAAATCGATATTTCTTGCATTATTACATGTGATTCGGGCCCTTATTGTTCGAATTTTATCACATGTATTCGAATCTACAACGCTAAGAAAAAAAAAATCATGATCACGCGAAATATTGATTCAAAAAGCTCCCTTACCTTTAGTTCATAGCCACTCTGTGTCCTACGGTCGGTTTAAACGCCGTTTAGTCGACTTTCTTTCCATCGAATACTAAACACTATAAAAGAAGGGAAGGCTGGAGACCTTCCAACCGACCCTCGCCACTCGAAGGTCAATAAATTCCAAACAAAGCGACCGATCTCCCTAAAATTGCCACCAGCCAGACCGAAGAGTGTATACCTACCCGTTCGACGAGCGCCAGGTTCTAAATTCGGCTGCATGAGCTCGAGAAGCGCTGCATTTCGCATCGATTCTGGCCAGCTTCGCTTCGCCATGATGCGCAATTCTGACTGTTATCCTACGAGATTTGAATCTTGGAGCTTGGCGACCGCGTCAGATCGACAAAACGTCACTCTCGCGGGGGAGGGTCGTCACTTTTGCCCTATCGCAAACCGACACCGTCCGGGGAGCCGGTGCGTTTAATTCGGCCGGAAACAGCTCACGCGTGTATGACACATGAAACCCAAAAACGTCCCCAACTGTCTTTTCTCCGATTTGAGATTTAAATCTTGCCAATAACAATTACAAAACCAGTTCGTTGCAGTCAGTTGTCTGGATCAGTAGTTCTGTTCAAAAGATTTTCTTTTCTTCTTCAGAGGAAAATCCTCCTCTTTTCTGGCTACTTTTGATAACATCGTTATCAACAGACTTTCTTCAAACGCTAGATACACGCGATCGCCACAGGAACCGAAATACACGTGATTTTTACTAACAAACAAGCTACGTGAAGAAGAAAAATATATTTTAGGGTAGCTCTGAAAAGAACTGTTGTTAAAATACGAGAGGAAATATCAAACTTGAACAGAACTACTGATCCAGACAACTGACTGCAACGAACTGGTTTTCAAATCTCAAATCGGAGAAAAGACAGTTGGGGACGTTTTTGGGTTTCATGTGTCATACACGCGTGAGCTGTTTCCGGCCGAATTAAACGCACCGGCTCCCCGGACGGTGTCGGTTTGCGATAGGGCAAAAGTGACGACCCTCCCCCGCGAGAGTGACGTTTTGTCGATCTGACGCGGTCGCCAAGCTCCAAGATTCAAATCTCGTAGGATAACAGTCAGAATTGCGCATCATGGCGAAGCGAAGCTGGCCAGAATCGATGCGAAATGCAGCGCTTCTCGAGCTCATGCAGCCGAATTTAGAACCTGGCGCTCGTCGAACGGGTAGGTATACACTCTTCGGTCTGGCTGGTGGCAATTTTAGGGAGATCGGTCGCTTTGTTTGGAATTTATTGACCTTCGAGTGGCGAGGGTCGGTTGGAAGGTCTCCAGCCTTCCCTTCTTTTATAGTGTTCAGTATTCGATGGAAAGAAAGTCGACTAAACGGCGTTTAAACCGACCGTAGGACACAGAGTGGCTATGAACTAAAGGTAAGGGAGCTTTTTGAATCAATATTTCGCGTGATCATGATTTTTTTTTCTTAGCGTTGTAGATTCGAATACATGTGATAAAATTCGAACAATAAGGGCCCGAATCACATGTAATAATGCAAGAAATATCGATTTTCGTTATCTTAAAGGCTACTAGTACAGATAGACAAACAAAAAGAATTCGGCTAAACTTCGGCTAAATATCTTTAAGACTTTTTGCATTTATTTGGCTTCAGATAATACACTAATAATTCTAGTATATTCCGACCAAATGACCTCTGAAGCCCGAACCCACAAATAGTGCGCTTGGGCTGCCTGTGATCAGAGAGGCTTTTGATCGAGTGTGCTAGAAATTTCTAATTAATACAGAGTTAAACAAGTATCAGAGAGAAGCTATCCTGCAAATTTTATAGCGAAAACCGATGAGTTCATAAATTTGCCGACGGGATTTGGCAAATTCCTTATCTCTCAAGCTTTGCTGCTTGTTTGCGACATATTGCGTGGAACTACGGGACATTACTGTTGATGTTGTTTCTTCCCTCCCTGGTAAATCTTGAAAGATCAATCTACAAAGCTGGAAAATATTGGTATTCCTGCTGTAACGCTCTGTGATATTAGCAAAGAGAATATGAGGGTTGCCGATAGAGGGACTTTCTCTGTTGTTTACGGAAGCCCAGAAGCTTGGTTGAAGATCGATCGGTGGAGGAAATGTTAGCGAGTGACTTTAATATACAGTTACTCTGTGGTCCGTGGGGGAGAAATGAATGCGTGACAAACGAACCCCAAAGGACGTCTGCAGGGAGGCTATATTCTTGTCTGTTGTGTTCAATCGTATTTGCTTCCCTTTTCCTGCCGTTTACGATTGCGTTTTTCATTGCCTTTAATCAAAATAACAGCTAGAATAGACAGACCGCAAACGCAAAGAAACTGACAAAGGCCGAGGATCGAAATCCACCAATCACCGCACATACACTGACCTCAGTTTGACCGTCGTGTTTTCTAAGAGGTCAGGCCTAGGTCTGTTGCACTGATTATTGGCAGCAAACTGGCGTACATGTAACAGTTTGTTTGGGTTTGAACTTCAGAACTCGCCAGCACTCGACTCTCAGAAAAAAAAGAGGAAAAAACAAAATTCTGAGGTCAACTTGTGGAAAGTGTAATTTTTCAAAAAACAGTAATCGAATCAACATTCGATTATGCAATAGAGGCTAAATATGACTATTGGATTGCTGATTTCATGAATGGATTATTGAATCAACAAACGAAATCATTTTTCCGTGAATGAATTCATTAGTTCGTTAGCGACGGGAACGCTTGACCTGGTTTGACTGTAATTAGTATACAGGAAGCGTGCTTTCGTAAACCGAATAAAGATGAATGAGGCGGACATTGGGGGGTACCCAACACCGCAATACCGTAAGAAAAAGTAGCAAATGCCGAAATACTGTGTCAAAAATCGACCAAATACGGATACCGTATTTATGATCAGTCACGTTTACTTAAAGCTATTTCCATCTCGTGTGTTTGTTTGCCTCAAGCGTGCATGCACCGGAAATCAACCTCAGACATTGCGACAAAACGTGAGAAGACCTTGATCGCTAAAACGATCGAAAAGCCCGGTCATTGCATGCCCTTTCAATTTCGTCATAGATTGTGTAATCATTTTCCATTAAGTCTAAAGTCTTAAAATATTAACTTTTATTAACCCGATTACCTTGCTGTGGTTCGTGTTGCACATTGTATTGATCTGTACTAGACAGGGGTGCGCAAATAAATGGTACCGCAATACCTTGAAGGATCTTCGTTTACCGAATACCGTCAACCAAAAGGATAAAAAACCGTATACCGCAAGGCTGGATGATATCGCAATATCGCACATTAAAATCAAAATATACCGCTTGAAAAAAAAGCTCAATACCGCAACAGGGGCACCCAACGTCAATTTTCGGAAAATACCTGTTCGGAAGACGATTTGAGATCTAGAATTTTCGGAACATTTGTTGTAAAATTTCTTGCTTGCCTGCCTCTGCTAGGATCTTCAAACATCTAAAAATGGTTTTGAACAATATTCTCGATGGGTGCCCCTGACCGCAACAGCGTAAACCCCCATGTCCTCCTCATCAGCTGTCCTCATGAATGAACATTCATATTTGAAAATTTGGTAGTAACGAAACTAATACCTTAATACCATCAACTCACGTGATGCAACTCACTTTGACTCTGAAGATGACTACAGGTTGTCGAAAAGTCAATCACTGTCAACAACAGTCGTATTCAGGACTACGATCACCCAGACGATCACTGATGCCTGACCTACTTAAGTTACGAAACTGTTATGTAAGAACTTTTCAGAAACCAGTTATGATCAGTCTGCTGGAAACGTAGAGAATTATTTGGTCGGCAGTGATTTCATTTTTTACACAATTTATACTGCTGGTGGTATGCTTTCTTTAACTGATTACTGGATAAGAAAGTTTGGTGCATAGATTTATATATGCAGTATGCAATGTGAAACAACTCTGGGTGCATGTTCGTTTTACAATAGTTATTAAAGTGGAATCGTTATGAAACCCGTTAGGCTCTTTTGTTATATGTTTTGTTAGCTTTTTTTTAGCAGACCGTGCTCAAGGTCCAATAGCATTCCTCTCATTTTAAACGTACTGACCAATAGAAACATTGCATTAATTTATTCAGTCACAATTTGTGAACAAAAAACAAGTCTGTGCACGGTCAGGGAGCTTCCAACATAAACTACACCACCGTTGTTTTCAACTTTGATGTTTGCCGGCTTTCCTAAAGGTATCCGTCTTGTAGAGGTATGTAGATGCAGTCGGTGGTGCTTTCTTTTAGATCATGTTTAAAATACATACCGTGTAGCATGAAAATTTTGCGGGTTCTAATTTTTGCGAATTTTGCGCATCGACCTCGATCCGCAAAAATTAGTTCCCGCAAAATAAAACGCCGCAAAAATAGATTACAGCCATTTCGAGAGAGGTTGTCGGGAAAAGTGCACGCTACAATCCTGAATGGCATTGCGGGTGGTTTTGAGTTCTCTGTTTTTCAAAGAAATTTGAAAGAATTGGCACGAAAGGCCATGGAAATGTGTTTCCGGGTGCTAAAGGAAAGCAACAAAAGTAGGTTGTGTATTGATGATATCCCATATTACCTTTTGGGACTGTCGCGTGCACATTTTTTCCGACAACCTCTCTCGAAATAGCTGTATATACCGCATCAGTTCTGTGTAAGGACCTGATGGGATTGTTGGTTTGCACGTGACGCCACGGCGGCCATGTTGGTGGTCAAGAACAAAAGCATTTCTTTCCTCTGGGAAAAAAAAATTCTATTGTACTGACCACGTCACGTGGTTGCAAACCAAGAATTCTGACGTTGTAGTAATATGAAGCCCATATCGCTTGTTTCAAATGTTCACCGGGCCACTCTCGAATACGGGACTGAAGTAATTTCAGCCCAAGGGACAATACTAGCAACGTCCTTTTCCTTTTTATAAGAGAAACTATTTCCGAAATGTGAATGACCAAACAAACACTTAACGAACCGGACGAACTTCATGCTTTTCAGCCTTACAGTCAAGGCAGGTCAAGTGTACCCCCAAGATTCTATTTTTGAATTGATTGTTTGAAAAATGAATCCGTTTGTCGTTCCCCTACCTGGTGTCGCATATTTTACGAGAACTTCTATGTATTTGGTCATATTGAAAATCTTTAGATGGATAAAATTTCTTCCAAGACATTTACATCAATTTCAGGGAAACTGAGGGGGTAGAAATTTCATAACTACCTCGTGAATTCACGCCTCATTACGCATACAGGAATGCCGAGATGAATATGAAATATGTAATTACCGACGGATTCAACCTGTGAATAATAAATTCATTAAAGGAATCTTGGGGGGTATGCTTGAACTGGCTTGACTCTAGTAGTCATCCGTTCTACTAAGATGAAAACGAAAATGGCGTCCTCAATCTACCTCCTTTTTACCTGTGTGGTGAGCCGTGGCCGCCGGCAACTTAGATGTGTCGGGTGAAGTGTTTTATTTAATGAGTAATTACGGTGAGAACAAATGGAAATTTGTAGGGAATTCTTTGTGTGTTTATGACATTCTCCTTTATTTTCCTGCAGGTTTTATTTTTTTCTTCATCTGTCCACTTTGTACACAGTCACCCGACACCATCTGCCAAACATGGCGGAATATCCTCCAAATTTATTCATGTACAGCCAACGAAAGAGGCAACGGAAGATCCTGTCAATAGCACCAGGAATCGTAATAAGCACAATCTAAATTCCCTGCGCAAACTGGAACAAAAGGAGCAACAAATCCTTAGCGACAGGATCAAAAGAAACGCTACTGAGAACATGAAAGACGAGCTTGTAAGTTCGACAAGGAGAGCGAACGGTTCTGCCACCGATGTCAGAGGAAGAAATTATCTCAACAGATCTTCAGTAAGAAGCAGAAAGAGTTGCCAAAGCTTCAAAGGAAAAAGACAGGTGACACATCCATGTGTTAAGAGAATTGTGAAGACCTATCACGCTGCCCTGGATGAAATTGTGACTGAATATGAATGCCGGAAATCTTCGTTCTACTGTCCTCAAACGTCAAGTGGATTGTATCGTTGTGAGCCTGTCATGAAGTTTCATACGGGTCTTGGCAAGACCCTGAAGGTTGGATGCTGGTGTAAGCCGTGATTCGAGTTTATAGTTGAAAGAACACTCAGTTATGTAATAATTAAGTACCGTAAATTATCGATTAAGCGCTGCGGCGCCTATTTTATTTTCCCTGTTATAGGTGCGGCAGAAATACGAGAGCGGTGCTTATTTCAGTTCAACTACGGGTAAAACACTGAGGGAATTATAGAGAGAATTAAGTGAGGCGCGTACTAGGTATGCACAATCGAACATATATTATATGAACCCAGTTCCAAGAGACTTTAGAACTCACGAGTTGGTGGAGGTCTTATTTCTCAAGCAGTATGGTTTTGATATCTCTTTATATCAAGCGTTGTTACAAAGTTAGGGCGTTAATTTGTAAATACCCAGATTAGCGCCGCAGCACTTATTCGAGAGCGGCGCTTATTAAATTATTTTCGGTACAGGTGCGGCACTTATTCGAGTGGCGAGACTCGTATAACCGCTCAAAAAACGAGACTGCGAGACCCGTGAAATTCAACTAAAATTTTGCGAGACCCAGAGTTTTTGAAGAACCATTCGCCACCCCTGGTATAGTACAGGATTATCTGCAAATTAAATGTCAGCCTAGCCTCTCCACAGACGTTTTTCGTTTTCGAAGGGAGCGCGCGAGTAATCGTGGAGTGGAGAACGAACGCGAAGCGTGAGAAAAAAACCTCTACCCCCACCACCACCACAAACCTTGCGCTTGCGGTAAATAAACCCCCCGTGTTTTTTTTTTTTCCACACACATTCGACGATCTCTAAAAAGAAAATAGTCTGTCTGTGGGCTGGCTTATACAAGCCTCAATCGTTTCATGTAAGAACACTTTAGAGAGATGCGATCGCAGTCACTTTTTTTGGCACTTCAACTGCAAATTTACGCCACAGGCCTGTAAGGCTGCGTGCAAACGGACACAACATTGTTGACCAACAACTTCCAACATTGTTGGATGTTACATGCTGCGTCCGTTTGCACACCCTGTTGCATGTTGTTTGATGTTGTTGCGTGTTGTTGGGCAAAGTTTGAAACCGGTCAACTTTTAGCCCCGTGCAAAGGGACGCAACATTGATGGCTTACAACTCCCAACATTATTGGGAGTTGTTGTGTCCGTTTGCACGTAGCCTAATACTTATCAATCAAGTAGTTTTTTCAAAAAAAAGGGATATAATGTAATCGATTTTTTGCTTGAGTAAGTACGGCTTCGTTTTGCGGACAATGGGGACCTGGCTTGAGAGATCCGTTCTCGAAATACCTACGATAAAATAGACCGTGCTCACGGCTTGACAAAGCTCTCGCTGTCGCGGCTTCGCTCCGCACTTTTAGGAATCTGAGGAATTAGGGAAGAAAATAAAAGACCTCTGGTACCTAGGGTAGGACAATGGAAGCCGTCAGCAGCTTTATGGTTGTAAGTTTAAAGGCGGACATGTAATGTTTCCACTTTAACTTTTCAAGGTTCCGGTTAGTTTTGATTCGGGAATCAATCATCAGCTTAGTTCCCCTAACTGTGGATGTAGAGTTAGTTTGAATTAATACATGGTCAACTGAGACTCTTCAAGAAAAGTAGATGTTTTTATTGGAATGTTTACTTAAAAAATCTCGAAATTTAGAACCAACTTGAATGTAAATTGCTCAACATCTTGCGGTTATTGCTCAGACTCAAAAGTTTAAACCAATTTAGAGAGCGTCGATAGACATTGCCATAGTGAAAGTAATAATGATCAGTTTCCGTCACGTCCAGTTTTATATTTTCTTGATGGCCTTTTTCAGGCTCCAAGACGGTAATGTGTAGTTCGCGCGTGTCTTATTTTCCCTGGTTTGTCAGTATTTTCGCCTACTATCTGAAGCCCCATGCAAATGGACGCAACATTGTTGGCCAACAACTCCCAACATTGTTGGATGTTACATGTTGCGTCCGTTTGCACACCCTGTTGCATGTTCTTGAATGTTGTCGCGTGTTATTGCACAAAGTTTGCAACCGGTCAAACTTTTCAGGCAACATCTCCCAACATTTCTTCTGTTCCGTGATCGCTGAAGCGTAGCGCAACAATGTTGGATCCGTTTGCACAGCTCTTCCAACATTGTTGGGGCCACGCAAGCTCATTACGCATGGATTACAAAGACTTATGGGTTGTATTATTCCTACGATGCACTGCAGGTCCCAACATCGTTGGAAGTTGCATTTGCACACCACTGCCAACACGCACGCGACAACTCCCAACATTGTTGGCGCAACAATGTTGGGAGTTGTTGCGCCCGTTTGCACGCAGCCTTATTTTCCCTGGTTTGTCAGTATTTTCGCCTACTATCTGAGAGCCTGGCAACGGCTAGTATTTTTACGGCTGCTAATTTGCTATCAGCCAACTTTTTAAATAAGATATCGTATAGGCCCTCCGTTACAGAAGGTAATATCAGGGAAAATTTGAAACCAAAGTTGTCTTTTGATTTCCTTCTGTCCAGTCAAAGAGTTTCATTTTGCAATGCAAATGTTATGCAGAAATGCACAACAATAAAACCCATCGACTGCGCGATTAACTTAAGACATAACACATAATCGCTATGAAAGACCTACGAGTTTCGATCTAATCTTCCGGATCGCAGTCGATTGCCTCGATGTTTTTAGGACGATCAAGACTATCCGTCCTATTTTATGCAAACTAAAGTCTATGTAGACCTTGATTCTAATGTATCCAGTCGATTGCGATCGCCGCAATTATACGGATTGTCCCGCATTCATAGTTGTTGTTGTTGTTTTATCTTGACGCTTTGCACAGCAAGAACTTTAGTAGTAAGCTCAAATTTCGAATAATTCCTGTGAAACTTAGGGCGCTTTCCATTTACCAACAGACTCCGATGCTAGTTTCAGGCTTTCGGGGCCATTTTTCGGTATCAAAGAGGAGCTGATTTGTGCAAATGATAAACGCGATTCCGTGAAGAAATTTGTCAGCCCTGAATTTTGCTTTCCGTTTGCCAAAACCGTGAACCGACCAGTTTTTTCAATGGAAAGCCCCCTAAAAAACCTTTTTCCTGTACCTTCTGGACTGTTTTCATTCCCCTTATCGGTGAGATTGTCGAGATTGACGGCCGCTGTTTTATGGTGAGCAAATGGTACTCTTTTGTAAGTTTTCGCTTACCATAAGAAACAACGGCTAGTAGCGCTCTCCAACTCGCTGATAGACCTCGAAATAGAGGACGGTGAACAGTTTGTGTACCATCTTAATTCTTTCTGTTTACCTTTTCAGGTACTTTGACAGAGGCCTACACGGCTGGATGACAAGGTTTGGCTTGACTTATGTTTAAATCCTTGTGGTCAGCGTCACGGGTCAAGGTCCTAGCCAAAAGACTAGTAGTTCTGACTTCTGGGGACGAGAATGAATTTAAATCTGTAGTGGCTCAGCGGATGCTTAGGGGGAGGGGGTGGGGGTCTCGTCACAAGTTCACGAACGACAATTTTGCGTTTCACGAGTCAACAAACAAGTGTATTTGTTCCTATTTATATTCACGACTAAGAGACGGGAATGGGTGTGCAGCTCGAACTATGGAGCCTGAGTGTTTAATGCCGTCCAAATAACATACAAAGTTCAACATCATAACTAAAGAATGGTAAACAAATATTCCTAAATAAAGTCACTCAGGCTAAACTATTCACGTGCGCCGCCTGATACGAAAACCCAAAAAACCCAATAGGGAAAAAATTGGGAACGTATTCCCCAACCGATGCGGTCGCACAACCTCTGGGGGTTAAAGGTAAAAAATCAATCGATAGATGGATAAAGTAAGGTATAAAAATAAAATTTGATAGTTCGAGAGCTGAGATGAATACATTACAAGTGTCAAAACCTGTCAAAACCTTATATACCTTACAACAATAGAGTCAATTAACGCCATAGCGGCTCACGTGCGTTCATACCAATAGGAAAGTATTTACATTCTCTGTCACTGCCACTACGTTTAGCTCCGCCGAATGTAAATACATTTCCTATTTATATTCACGACTAAGAGACGGGAATGGGTGTGCAGCTCGAACTATGGAGCGACTGAGAAAAAAAAGAACGGGAAACAATACAGTCCAAGAGACATAGAGACCGCTAATCGGCTCTCTATCGAGTCTGCAAAGTAACCATCCTAGCGTTTTCCGAACGCCATCTACCATGGCGCTTAAACATTCTATCGGAGATACCACCATTAGCGGCGGCAGATGCACCGCCACTTCTGAAGCTGTGCGAAGAGAAAGACTTAAGATCTAAGCCCACGTCTGTAGTCTTCTTCAATAAAACTTCTCTACATCTTGTAGTCCATCCGCCCAGGCTCCAAATGTCTTGTAAGAGCCAAACTTGGTTGAATATTTCCGAACAAATAGTCGTCTCCACCTTGGGAAGATGTCGGTAAAGTGAGTTTGGCTTACGATAAGTACTTCTCTAAATTACCCCAGGGGAAAACAATCCGTGCCAGACTTGACAATAGGGACAATAGCGCCCTCGCGAAATTGATCAGTTTTACTACTTTCAATAAAAGCTCAAAACGAGGTGTCATGCAGAGCTAAATCTTTAAGTTTCAGATTAGCCAATTCGTCAAATCTTAAGAACCCCGCAAAGGCCAGTAACGCCATGGCGATGAATCTCGTGTCCACCAAAGATCCATCGAGACTCTGAAAAAACGTTAGTAAAATTTCGGGTGTAATGGGGAGCTTTTTGGAAGTAAGGTGTAATAGCCTTCTCTTAGCGGACTCCACGACCTTCTGGGGAAGTGTATGATTGGTAGGAGAGTCAAAACCAGCAAAATCATGAGCCCAGCGGATGCTATAGAGGGCGTTCTGGACCGGCGCAGGAGAACTAGAAGCCTGGAGAACACTGAGCAGGTATGAAGAAACGTAAGCCGGAGTAGCAGGCAGCACTGCCACCTCGGGAAATCTGTTGGCCCAAGCACGCCATCGCTTAAAACTGTTGAGGTAGGTGAGAGTAGTCGAATCTGCCCTGGAACCAAGGACTACCTCCGGTAGCTTTTTTGCTACGCAGCGTAGGGAGGGAGCTCTGACATCGTTAAGCTCAGCCCACATAGGGCTAGCGAAAAACATCTGAAAAACAGAAGAAATAAAAGACCATATGGATTCAATATAAGGACTTAAAAATGAAAAAGATGCACGAGAAAAAAGGAGCAGAAAAAAGGAAACGCGCGGTAATATGTAGTGAAAAAACATACAACTATCACACAGATACATAACAAGAGAGTGGCCACCGAGGCGCACTCGACCATATATATGGGGGACCTGGAAGGATTCAAAACTTACCGAGGTCACGCAAGAATGTAACGGTACGACCCGTCGGGATCAGTGAAGGTACAAACAAGGTCACCGAGACCCGCGTAAATGCCACCGAGGCAAAAGAAAAAAACAGAACAAATCACTCAAAAATAATAAACCACACTAAATATAGGCTAAACAATAACTACATGTAACTGCGGAAAAGAAACTAAGCCTAGAAGCACAAATCTAACAAGCCGACAAACGGACGGCTAATACATGAGACTAAAGTTAGGGCCATAAAAAATAGACTCTGTGGAGCCCGGAACAAAAATATTAGAAACATTGGTAAAAAACAATGGTCTCTTTAACGCAAAAGGAAAAAAGGGGGAATGGGGACCAAAGAGCATGGGCCAAAATGGAGCTGAGACCCACTTGGGGACAATAATAGCGCCCATGGACCGACATACAAACAAATGCCTAATAACCCTGGGAACAAGGGACACTGGGGAAACGAGCTAGTTATTCTCCCCCGCCCTGTCAAAACAAAAGGCATCCACCCCCTCCAAGTCAGGATACCAGAAACGAGAAAAGAATCTGGGCAATTTGCGGTATTAGAATGGGCAAAACGATCTACGGAAGTGGACCCCAAATGTTGTCTACAGGGCGAAAAAATTCAAACGAAACACCCCAATCATCAAAGTCAACGATCCTGCTGATGGCATCCACGTGCCCATTGAGAGACCTAGGAATCCAGTCCACCTGCAAATCAATACCATTTCGCAAAACTAGCTGAAAAATAGAGACGGAAAGTTCGTGTAAACCCCGCTTCATACTCCCGTTGCGAATAATGGACGGAATGTAGCGGTTATCCGTAAACCATTAAATCGCGCACCCTGACAAAACTACGGAAAAACTAGAGAGACAAATATAGCTGGGAAACATTTCATTAGCAGTCCACGGACGATGACAAATAAAGCCCTCGTGGTCTTAACAACACCGCCAACCCCTAGATCACTAGCATCTGAATAAACAATGGAACGAGAACATGAAAAGTGACGCCCAGTGGGCCTACCATTCAAACACCGAACGTTCTCTTTCCAGAAAAAAAAAAGCTCTTCTTTGACAGAATCGGACAAAGGAAACCTAGAGTCCCAACTAGACTGAAGGACGATGGACATATGAATAACCTTTGTCATCAACGGTTGTAACATTACCTACAGCTAGTTAAAGGAATTAATACGACCAGCAAGAACGGACAGTTCCCTGGCAGTGCAACAATTAGCCTCTAAAAGGGAATCAATATCAGAAAGAACCCGTTTGAGTTTTATCCCCTGAACAAAAAGGAAACCCTGAAAAAGATCAATGAGGAAACCCAAACAATCAAGGGCTGATGTAGGAACCCAAATAGATTTCTCGAGGTAGGGTACAAAGCCAGAACGAATCAAATCAGTCTTAACCCTGGTGGAATGGTCTAAAGCAACCGGATATGAAGGCCCCTCCCCTAAACCATCATAAATATAAACGACAATGTGAATACCAACCCACCTTTTCTGTAAACAAAAGGGATTGAACAGAGGCCGAAGGGCAGGACCCTGAAACAAAACTAACGGACCTTACCCTGGTAAAACCAGGAAAAACCCAAAAATGTCTGGTGGGGCGGGAAGATAAGGACATGATGATAACCCCTCTTAATGTCAAATGAAAACATGAAATGACCCTTGTCAAAATAATTCAGAGCCACCTTAAGAACCTCAAACTTGACCTTTGGCTTCCAGACATGCTTATTTACAAACCTAAGGTCCAAGATCAACCTCTTCCTCCCAGATGATTGAACAGAAACGGAAAGAGGGTTGACGTTATGTAGCAGGACCTCCGATCCAAAAATGCAATTGGTAACCAACAATAAGGAAACAGCTTCGTTAACAAAATCAGAATGCGTCAAAGCTGACTTATTATAACTAGAGTGGAAAGGAATACGATAACCATGCTCGATAACATCTAGAATAAATTGACTGGCGCCTATAGAACGCCAAAACTGAACAATGATATGGGATTTTAGCCTACCGGCTACAACGATAGTAGAAACTACGACCCTGTTCATATTCAAAAAAAAAAGTCAAAATCATCTTCAACAAAATTCGTTAACTTATCTGTGTCCTCGACGAGTGCACCAACATCCGAGTCCATCACGTACGTTTCCCAGGTTGGCTAGGTAAAAACTACGCCTGAAGGGCGGGGCACTGATTCCTGAAAAGGCCGAAACTGCCAAAACTGCCAACACTGCCAACACGCGAACCACGGTGAGCCTTAGGCCAATTGACGGCAACGAAAGGGTTCGAAAAATTGGAACTTTCCTTTAACTCTTCGAAGGCCTTTTCAACTTGAGGCGAAGACTCCTGAAGGGCGGTCGAAGCAGACTGGACGTGTTCAAGAACTTCAGAATTAAGTAGGAACTGCTTCTCGTTGCCTTTCTTTTAAAACTTCGGAACATTAGCAGTAGCTGTCTTGAGCTTCTTCAGCGCAGCGTCGTGTCCTTGTGCAAGTTCTCTCTTTAAAGAAGATAAACCAGATCGAAACTCGTCTTTGAGCTCGGAAATGCTTCGCGAGATCATCATCGGACGGCATTTTAAAATTTGATAGTTCGAGAGCTGAGATGAATACATTACAAGTGTCAAAACCTGTCAAAACCTTATATACCTTACAACAATAGAGTCAATTAACGCCATAGCGGCTCACGTGCGTTCATACCAATAGGAAAGTATTTACATTCTCTGTCACTGGCTTGACTCTAGTAGTCATCCGTTCTACTAAGATGAAAACGAAAATGGCGTCCTCAATCTACCTCCTTTTTACCTGTGTGGTGAGCCGTGGCCGCCGGCAACTTAGATGTGTCGGGTGAAGTGTTTTATTTAATGAGTAATTACGGTGAGAACAAATGGAAATTTGTAGGGAATTCTTTGTGTGTTTATGACATTCTCCTTTATTTTCCTGCAGGTTTTATTTTTTTCTTCATCTGTCCACTTTGTACACAGTCACCCGACACCATCTGCCAAACATGGCGGAATATCCTCCAAATTTATTCATGTACAGCCAACGAAAGAGGCCACGGAAGATCCTGTCAATAGCACCAGGAATCGTAATAAGCACAATCTAAATTCCCTGCGCAAACTGGAACAAAAGGAGCAACAAATCCTTAGAGACAGGATCAAAAGAAACGCTACTGAGAACATGAAAGACGAGCTTGTAAGTTCGACAAGGAGAGCGAACGGTTCTGCCACCGATGTCAGAGGAAGAAATTATCTCAACAGATCTTCAGTAAGAAGCAGAAAGAGTTGCCAAAGCTTCAAAGGAAAAAGACAGGTGACACATCCATGTGTTAAGAGAATTGTGAAGACCTATCACGCTGCCCTGGATGAAATTGTGACTGAATATGAATGCTGGAAATCTTCGTTCTACTGTCCTCAAACGTCAAGTGGATTGTATCGTTGTGAGCCTGTCATGAAGTTTCATACGGGTCTTGGCAAGACCCTGAAGGTTGGATGCTGGTGTAAGCCGTGATTCGAGTTTATAGTTGAAAGAACACTCAGTTATGTAATAATTAAGTACCGTAAATTATCGATTAAGCGCTGCGGCGCCTATTTTATTTTCCCTGTTATAGGTGCGGCAGAAATACGAGAGCGGTGCTTATTTCAGTTCAACTACGGGTAAAACACTGAGGGAATTATAGAGAGAATTAAGTGAGGCGCGTACTAGGTATGCACAATCGAACATATATTATATGAACCCAGTTCCAAGAGACTTTAGAACTCACGAGTTGGTGGAGGTCTTATTTCTCAGGCAGTATGGTTTTGATATCTCTTTATATCAAGCGTTGTTACAAAGTTAGGGCGTTAATTTGTAAATACCCAGATTAGCGCCGCAGCACTTATTCGAGAGCGGCGCTTATTAAATTATTTTCGGTACAGGTGCGGCGCTTATTCGAGTGGCGAGACTCGCATAACCGCTCAAAAAACGAGACTGCGAGACCCGTGAAATTCAACTAAAATTTTGCGAGACCCAGAGTTTTTGAAGAACCATTCGCCACCCCTGGTATAGTACAGGATTATCTGCAAATTAAATGTCAGCCCAGCCTCTCCACAGACGTTTTTCGTTTTCGAAGGGAGCGCGCGAGTAATCGTGGAGTGGAGAACGAACGCGAAGCGTGAGAAAAAAACCTCTACCCCCACCACCACCACAAACCTTGCGCTTGCGGTAAATAAACCCCCCGTGTTTTTTTTTTTCCCACACATTCGACGATCTCTAAAAAGAAAATAGTCTGTCTGTGGGCTGGCTTATACAAGCCTCAATCGTTTCATGTAAGAACACTTTAGAGAGATGCGATCGCAGTCACTTTTTTTGGCACTTCAATTGCAAATTTACGCCACAGGCCTGTAAGGCTGCGTGCAAACGGACGCAACATTGTTGACCAACAACTCCCAACATTGTTGGATGTTACATGCTGCGTCCGTTTGCACACCCTGTTGCATGTTGTTTGATGTTGTTGCGTGTTGTTGGGCAAAGTTTGAAACCGGTCAAACTTTTAGCCCCGTGCAAACGGACGCAACATTGATGGCTTGCAACTCCCAACATTATTGGGAGTTGTTGCGCCCGTTTGCACGTAGCCTAATACTTATCATTCAAGTAGTTTTTTTAAAAAAAGGGATATAATTTAATCGATTTTTTGCTTGAGTAAGTACGGTTTCGTTTTGCGGACAATGGGGACCTGGCTTGAGAGATCCGTTCTCGAAATACCTACGATAAAATAGACCGTGCTCACGGCTTGACAAAGCTCTCGCTGTCGCGGCTTCGCTCCGCACTTTTAGGAATCTGAGGAATTAGGCAAGAAAATAAAAGACCTCTGGTACCTAGGGTAGGACAATGGAAGCCGTCAGCAGCTTTATGGTTGTAAGTTTAAAGGCGGACGTGTAATGTTTCCACTTTAACTTTTCAAGGTTCCGGTTAGTTTTGATTCGGGAATCAATCATCAGCTTAGTTCCCCTAACTATGGATGTAGAGTTAGTTTGAATTAATACATGGTGCAACTGAGACTCTTCAAGAAAAGTAGATGTTTTTATTGGAATGTTTACTTAAAAAATCTCGAAATTTAGAACCAACTTGAATGTAAATTGCTCAACATCTTGCGGTTATTCCTCAGACTCAAAAGTTTAAACCAATTTACAGAGCGTCGATAGACATTGCCATAGTGAAAGTAATAATGATCAGTTTCCGTCACGTCCAGTTTTATATTTTCTTGATGGCCTTTTTCAGGCTCTAAGACGGTAATGTGTAGTTCGCGCGTGTCTTATTTTCCCTGGTTTGTCAGTATTTTCGCCTACTATCTGAAGCCCCGTGCAAATGGACGCAACATTGTTGGCCAACAACTCCCAACATTGTTGGATGTTACATGTTGCGTCCGTTTGCACACCCTGTTGCATGTTCTTGGATGTTGTCGCGTGTTGTTGCACAAAGTTTGAAACCGGTCAAACTTTTCAGGCAACAACTCCCAACATTTCTTTTGTTCCGTGATCGCTGAAGCGTAGCGCAACAATGTTGGATCCGTTTGCACAGCTCTTCCAACATTGTTGGGGCCACGCAAGCTCATTACGCATGGATTACAAAGACTTATGGGTTGTATTATTCCTACGATGCACTGCAGGTTCCAACATCGTTGGAAGTTGTTGCATCCATTTGCACACCACTGCCAACACGCACGCAACAACTCCCAACATTGTTGGCGCAACAATGTTGGGAGTTGTTGCGCCCGTTTGCACGCAGCCTTATTTTCCCTGGTTTGTCAGTATTTTCGCCTACTATCTGAGAGCCTGGCAACGGCTAGTATTTTTACGACTGCTAATTTGCTATCAGCCAACTTTTTAAATAAGATATCGTATAGGCCCTCCCTTACAGAAGGTAATTTCAGGGAAAATTTGAAACCAAAGTTGTCTTTTGATTTCCTTCTGTCCAGTCAAAGAGTTTCATTTTGCAATGCAAATGTTATGCAGAAATGCACAACAATAAAACCCATCGACTGCGCGATTAACTTAAGACATAACACATAATCGCTATGAAAGACCTACGAGTTTCGATCTAATCTTCCGGATCGCAGTCGATTGCCTCGATGTTTTTAGGACGATCAAGACTATCCGTCCTATTTTATGCAAACTAAAGTCTATGTAGACCTTGATTCTAATGTATCCAGTCGATTGTGATCGCCGCAATTATACGGATTGTCCCGCATTCATAGTTGTTGTTGTTGTTTTATCTTGACGCTTTGCACAGCAAGAACTTTAGTAGTAAGCTCAAATTTCGAATAATTCCTGTGAAACTTAGGGCGCTTTTCATTTACCAACAGACTCCGATGCTAGTTTCAGGCTTTCGGGGCCATTTTTCGGTATCAAAGAGGAACTGATTTGTGCAAATGATAAACGCGATTCCGTGAAGAAATTTGTCAGCCCTGAATTTTGCTTTCCGTTTGCCAAAACCGTGAACCGACCAGTTTTTTCAATGGAAAGCCCCCTAAAAAACCTTTTTCCTGTACCTTCTGGACTGTTTTCATTCCCCTTATCGGTGAGATTGTCGAGATTGACGGCCGCTGTTTTATGGTGAGCAAATGGTACTCTTTTGTAAGTTTTCGCTTACCATAAGAAACAACGGCTAGTAGCGCTCTCCAACTCGCTGATAGACCTCGAAATAGAGGACGGTGAACAGTTTGTGTACCATCTTAATTCTTTCTGTTTACCTTTTCAGGTACTTTGACAGAGGCCTACACGGCTGGATGACAAGGTTTGGCTTGACTTATGTTTAAATCCTTGTGGTCAGCGTCACGGGTCAAGGTCCTAGCCAAAAGACTAGTAGTTCTGACTTCTGGGGACGAGAATGAATTTAAATCTGTAGTGGCTCAGCGGATGCTTAGGGGGAGGGGGTGGGGGTCTCGTCACAAGTTCACGAACGACAATTTTGCGTTTCACGAGTCAACAAACAAGTGTATTTGATCTCGGCCACCTGTATGGGTGATCTCTGCGTGGCTTTAAATTCCCTAGGAAAGCCAGCTGTAGGTGGGTCTGAAAGCACTGAAGTTACATTAAACTGAAAGACTCAAAAGTGAAGTTAAATCAAGCCGTCAGATGGCTCTTTTGGCCAAATTAATGATTTAATTTCTTCAGTTCATCTCCAATGTTCGTGTACAGTATAGAGAATTTTGGCAGTTCACGTTTCACGGAGTGCACCTCAATCACGATTCACAGAGCAGTTTCTCAGTACATCACGATTCACGGACCCCAAAAATGGTCGATGACGGCTTCACGAAAATAAACTTGCCTTCCTCTGCTCTGTGTAGTTTAAAGCAAAATCGCTAAGGGTTGCCACACTCAGGGTAATGTCATAAAAAGACCTTTTCTGCGAGGTTAGGAAAAAAAACCGTTTTTTGTTTTGGAAATCTCAGGTTAAACTCAGTTTCTCCTTATACAAAGGTTGTCAAAAGTCAGAATTTTATTTTCGGATTGCCACAAGATTTCGTAAGATAATAAAAAAAACATTTTCATCCGAAAATAATCTTATTTGACCAGTCTATTTTCATAATCCAAATCCTGCCAAAAAGCTAGATTTCGATGAAAAATCGCTCATAGGTCAACAAAAAATCAGCCTCTTTTTGGCTTCAGATCAGACTGCAAACTAGTCCGTCTTTTTGCGTTCGTCAAGAACGCACGTGTGAGACTTAAACACCGGCGCTTTGCGCCTTGAGAAACCGATTTTGAGAAAAAAAAACGACTGTTTTGCAGTCTAAGATAGTAGTGCCTCAATTATCATCACGGTCGATTCACGATAGCAAGCTCCGGCCATGCAAGGACCAGGGTAGCCAGGAGATCCAGGGCTAGCCAGGCAAAGTCAGGAGATCGAGAAAAAAATAAGAGGGAAGTGAGGGAGAGAGGAAGGAAGTTCTTTCGCTTTCACTTCCTGCCCCACTTCCTCGTAGTTTTGCCTGCTTACATCTCTTTTCGCCGTCCGCGCAATCTGATCACCTGGAACAGGCTAGGGTTGGGCTGTGTTCCAACTCTTACCGTACAATGAAATACAGTCCAATTGATTGACCAATCCCAGCTCGCGTACTAACCTAGAAATAAAACATCTTTTTATTGGTCTTAGGTATATCTACATTCCCATGGGAGGGTCCCGTAAGGGCGTCATTCGTCAGCTCACCGGCTCGTTTCTATCGTTTGCGTTTATATGGCAGTGGCATGGAGGTCACCTGTACGCGCTTTGGTGGTTCATTCCTAATTGGCTTGGTGTAGTGGTAGAGAGCGCAGCAGGAAAGGTGTTGGCGCAGCCGTCTGTAAGGCGTATGGAGGTTGGTGTTAGAGACCGGTCATTATTTATCGTCTGGGGGAGGGGGGCGGGGCGGGGTATGTTGGGGGGGATCACTCGACGTTTAGGAGAACAAAAGGGGGGATCAGTCGTAACTGAGAACCCGAAAGGGGGGATCACTGGAAACTTTGGAAGGATTCAGAGGGGGGACCACTCAAATTTGCTTAGAAAATGAAGACATGGGGTGGGGTCGCAAAAGTCATCAAATGTTAGTCGGGGGGATCACTTCATTGAAGTAACATTTGAAAGGTGGGTCGGCTAAATTTTACCTTCTTTAGCCTCAAATCCTCCTCCTCCTCCTCCCCCCCCCACCCCAGGAGATAAATAATGAAAATAATGACCGGTCCCCTATATCTTGAAATACCAAATTTACAGTTCTTCAACTACTGAAAAACAATAAGTACCGGTAGGAATCACTGCAAAACAGTCATAGTGAAATCTTTGACAGGACAATGAGCATGACAGCGTTAAAGGGGCTTTTTCACCGCATTACATTGCAGTTTGAGGTCCATTTGTGCTGAAATCACTGCTTAGTGCCCTCACCCAAAATACCCCTGTAGAGTTAGGTACGAAGTAGATATGAAACAAACTTCATCAGGGAGCACTAACCATGATGATTTTCTGGTGGTTTAATCTTGAAAAACAAAGCCGGGCCATTATTTTTGGAAGTCAGTTGATGCAGAAGAAAGTTTTAGCTTTTTGAAACGATAGCAAATAGCGTGACCAAGCCTCTTTTAAAATTATCTCCCGAAGTCTCATAAGTAATGAATTGTTTGTTTGTGTGTTTGTTTAGGAGAAGCTTTCTCCAGCTGCCTCTCGCCGTATTCGCGCCATATTTGGTATAGTTTCACTCACGTGCTTAATCCTAAGTAACTTGGTGTTCCTATGTGGAAGTGATCCTGTATGGTTCTACGTTAAGAGAATCTTCGTTTTTGGTAAGTTTGAGATACATTACAGTCAAGCCAGGTCAAGCGTACCCCACAAGATTCCATGACTTTTAGGCCTGACGTTTTGAGGTCTTAAAGTTCCCCTTAGTGTTTGCCTTTTCGCTGTTTCAAAACAATGTGATTTTTCATAGTCACTTTAGGAAAGTGCAAAGCACCATGTTATGCGAAACTTTTCACAGTGCATATTAAATCGGTTCTCGATCTTAGTTACTGTCTGTGATTCTATTCTGCAGGTTGGCCGTCGTCAGCACTTTTACTTCTTTTCTCTATGTACATGATTGTCCAGACAAACATGGAGCTCAACAGACACATTTCTCAGTGGTGACTGGCTTTTTAACAAATTTTCAAACCCTGGAGGGCCATAACAATTTTCAAGTACTTTTTGACTTTTCAAGTTACTGTCAAACTTCCCGTAGGCGACCACCCAATATGCGAAGATTCAGCAGTCGCTTACCGCAGGTGGACGCTAACCTGTGTAGCAAGCGTTTCCGTGCCGTTTCGGGGCAAAGAACAAGAGCGAGAGCCAAAGACCGCACGAAAAATGGGGCGAAAGCAACATCCGGCTAAAACCGAAAATCCCAGTCCTCGTCGTTCCTAGGTCTTTCTTTGCTCCGAAACCACAGGGAAACGCCTGCTACGCAGCCTACGGGGTCGCTTACGGGAAGTAGTCGCGAATCTGCCCCGGGGGGGGGGTACTCCCTAATATGGGCTATATAGGTATGTGCGGCCCCAAAGGGTAGGGTTTTTCAGCCGTTTTGGTCATAAATTGGGTATCGATTTTGGCTATTTTGCCGCCATTTTGGTCATAAATAGGGTAACGATTTTTGCACTGTAGTCTTGAATGCACTTTTTTAGAAGAAGCTACTTCCTTATCATGTCCCCCTCCTTCCATCCGCGCTTTGCCTTCCTCTCCACCGGCTACTTTGTAGGCTAGAAAATACAAGCAACAAAAGCCCTTCACAAAATAGGGTATCAAATTTTTGGTTAGGTCATAAATAGGGTAGGGAAAATCGCAGATTTTGGTCATAAATAGGGTAAGGGTTTTGGGAAGCGGGCCGCACACCCCTACCCAATTTTTCTGCGAGTACCCCCCCGGGGAATCTGCCCACAGGGGTTCCTTCCTAGAAGACGCCCAAACACATCTACGTTTTGAGATATAATTTATTACACCCAGTTTCTAAGCTACGATATCCGTAGGTTCATGTTGTCACTAAAAAACATCGTATTCTTTTAAAAGTGAAGTAGATATAACAAACATGGAGATCAAAATATACCTTAAGTGGTTGCTTACCAGAGGATGAAAACAATGGAATACCTTAACCGTTTAACATCCAAAAACTTGGTCGCGGTCGTTTGCTGACGAGAAGTGGTCCTTTACAAAAGGCTCTAAAGGAAAATTCTGGTGTTTTGAATAGGTGGTCGCTTATCGAAGAGAGGTGGTCGCACATTGCGGTTCGACTGTATTTACGTTTACTTTTTGAGTAAATCCTTGCCTCTAGTATTATAAAGTGATTATAACAACAACCGAGGAAAAGGCTGAACAAGCCTCTCTTAAAAAAAGAAAAACATTTTGTGAAAATCGCCTGTTTGTACTTGCAATGTTCTCGCACGTAGGTGTTTTGAATTTCTATGACATCATCTCGTTGCCGCGCAATTAGAGCAGGAAGGGAAAAGTTTCAGTTTCTTTGAAAAACTAAATTGAAGCGAAACGTCATGGCAGGCGAAAATAATTACCTTTAGTTGTAGTTCAGTCAATTTTATTTATAACCGCTTGGTTTTCATTCTCTAAGATTTGTGACTAGGCACTTTGTATCGTTTGTCTTAAATTGGAGTAATATACTCATTTTTTTCCTTTTCGTGAGAGGAAATCAGTGGTGAAATGTATCATACAAGTCATCATTCTAACAGGAAGTCGTGATCTTTGTTACCCCGGATCTAATGTCGCTTATGGTTAAGTACTGTGTTCCGTTTTATCCGCTCTGTCGCTAATAGATAATTGTTTGTTCCGTTGTGGTCAATAATTATGATTCAGAACGAGGTCGGTTTTTTGCCCGTACAATATAGCGTCGTTAACTAAACCATGCAATAAATCAATCTTTCTCTCTGTAAACCAGTGATGGGTTAGTATATTCTAATCCAACATGTACCACTTCGATCCATGGATCCATACAAATTGCTCTTGACTAAACCTTCATCTGTTTCAATCACGTTTATTCTTTTAAAAAGCGTCATTTTTGTAATATTTCTTGCCATCCAGCGAAGACCGCGAGTGGAGGAAGAGCCTTTTAGTTCAGGAGACGGGTAAACGGTGACATGAAAAGCTACAGGCAGTAAGTCGTCAAAAAGACATCAGCTTTTCGAAGCCACGCTTAAAAATAGGTGAGGTCAGTGTATTTTGGTCCAGATAAGGCTATAAGTCTGCTTTTAGTGCGGGCAAAGCCCCCACCCCATCGGTCGGTCGGTTTGCCTCTTCCCATTACTGCCACTTTAAATAATAATGAGTGAGAACGCTTTGTTTGTCTTGTTGTAATTTCCATAATTCGCGTGAGAGGAAATCGATCACTGCCAATATGACTGAATTACTTTGTAGCAAGCATAATTGGTCTAAACAGTCAAACCGTTTAATATCAATAAAAACATCACAAAATCCTGGTGATATTAGTACAATAAATGGTCAAAGTATATTTTCATTGTCGCAAACATTTTGAAATGTTTCCCACTGACATTTAAACTATCTGGGCGGATTGTTACTGAGTATAAACAAGAAGTTAAAATTGCCCCTAATGTAGAACTTCAGATATGTATAGGTGAGGCAATAATATCTACAGCGCACAATCACTTCCATAAAGGGCAACCGTCACCGTCAGCTATAAAGCAGTTATAAGTGGCTTAAATAGAAAGGGGCATATATGTTGATCGATTTTTACGCCGGGCTAACGGTTAACGGTTAACCGCATTGAGACCCTCCCAAATGTTCTTCAGTTCCCATATGAGTATATCTTTTGCGCTACTCAAGTTTGATAACTTTTCGGGGGAATTTTATCATAATGATGTTCCCGTAGTTTAAACAACTTTTTAATAAAATTGAAGGCGGCTATGATTTTTTTTGTAGAGGTATGGCAGCAGACACTAAAAGTAGGTTATCTAAGCAAAGTCTAACTTAGGCCGCGGCTTTAATTGTACCGATATGCTTTCATGAAATTTGGTCATGATGAAAAGAAGTGTTTAGATATCGGTGTTGGGCACTCTGAAATCAAGGCCGCTGGTCTTGATAGCCAGCCCTTTTTAAGACACTAAAATGGATTTTTAGTGCCACCACTTTGTAGCCTATTACACAATTGACACAAGTAGTAACAAGTGTTTTCATTTTGTTTTCGTTTGAGCTCCAACAGGTCTGTTTAGAATGGTAATTTCATGCAGCGCCGGTAGTTCAGGAAGTCTCTTTCCGCGGCCGGATATTATGTGCGCACTAATATAAGCGCGTCGGGCGTTCCGGTGAGTAAGCGATAATGTTTGACAAACCAAAACGTGACCATTTAATAACGGGAAGTCGTGTACTTTTTGATAATTTGTTAAGATAAAAACCCTCTCTGAAAGCAAATATATCTGTCTTCTCTTTCGTATACAAAGAAACTTTTTAAATTAACAATAGACACTGTGACAGTTGAAAATTCAACAAACAAGCAAGTGACTGTAAAACTTAATTGGGTCATGGTCTTAATCAAACGTAAAGTCAAGGTTTGTAATATTTGTCTCGTCATACCTTGCCGATATTCATTTCTGTCGATTCCAACAAAAAGTAGAATTGTAAGAGTAGCAAAAACACAATAATGGAGGGAGTTGATGAATATGTCTTCCTTGATTCTCTTGAAATTGAAATGTTTCGATGGCAACTGCAAACTGCTTAAAGTGGAACGCATTGTCATGTCAGTAAAATGTTACGCCCACCACAAAAGGCCGCATAGGAATGAGGAAAACAAACGATTATTGATTAAGCAGCAAGGAAACTAATGTAAATAAGATAGATAGATAGATAGTTTATTAAAATATCGAACATGGCAGTCCGTAGACTGAATTGCGTTACAATTACTTAAAACTAAGATTAAATAAATTCCAAAATTATAAATACTAATTGAAATTATAACAAAAAACATTTCTATAAAAATGCGAAAAACTCTCTCTATATAACTAGGTACAAACTAGTCCAAAAAATTATGTACACATACTTGGAATAAAAGTGTTCTTAAAACGATTTGTATGTGTGCGGGGCATGGCATAAGCCCTGGACTGTCTTAGATTATGTCTGTGTTCTCTCTTAGGAGGTAAGACAGGCACAAGTTTGTGATCCGGGCATGACGTGATAGACTCGAAAAGCTTGCTACACAGGGCCACGCGTCTAGCGTGCAAGGTTACTAAATCGAACCTGACCAAACCGACGCATAAGGACAAATGATGGAGAGCGCTCTCTTTTGCACTCGTTCGATGTCGTCACTAAGATACTGTGGAAGCGCATGATGGAAAACTGGCGCACAGTACTCTAAAACAGGTCTTATCACGGTGCAGTAAAAATTTACAATGTCGCTCAGTGGAACGTTGGCGCGCTTTAGAAGAACAATAAAATAGAGGCGCTTGTTCGCTTTCTTAATTCTGTTGCACGTTCATATTTGGGAAATTTTACTGAGTCTTTTCTTGGAAGACATACAGACTAATAGTTTTAGTACAGCTGTTTTTTTTTCTTTAACAACGCTTTTCGACTCTTCGAGATCACAACTATTAAGAAATTATGAAATCACATTGATAATCACATTAAGTAAAGTCTCCCTTTGCGCGTTAATCTAGTAAAAGACGTCACCGCTACTCCCATGTAACCCCGCCATACGACTGCCTTGACCATACGAACCCTTGACTAACGTTATTACAACCTCGTGAGAAGAGTTTGGTCAGGGCAGGAGCGCTGGCGCATTTCCAGAACAGCGGCTGGTAATCAAGCCTAGGATGAATTACCAGTTGCAAGTTGTACGAACTTGCATACCTACTTTATAATCCTCAAATAAACGCTGCATTCTACTGATTGGGTAGTAAATAGGGTATTTGATTGAGAAAACGTTGTAAATTACAAATCATATGCCGTAAACTTATACCCATAAATCTCATAACACTTATCTTTCATGGTTTACACTTTTTAAGTGACAACGGTTCTTTCAATCGAATTTTAGTCTGTTCAGAATCAAGAGTCTCCAATTATTTGTTCCGGTCTTGCATTTTCGCTGCAGCGCGTGCCTGATCATGAGTTATCATGAAAGTCTATTTTTTGCGGGATTTTTC